CTCAACTCTTTGCCGAGTTCGACGTGCAACCTAACCCAAACATCAGCCCGCTGAGTTTCTCGTCGGATCTTCTCAGCGGGTCGCGATTCCGATTCGGTAGTAGATGCATTCACGAAACAGCTACTCTTGAGTGGTTAGGTCTCCTTCGGAGGCGCTCGGGTAGCTGTTAGCAAATCCTAGTCCTCCTGGCTGAGCTTTTGCTCGTTCACCTGCCCTGGTAAAACTGGAAAGGCCTCCGGGCCACCAGTAACTTCTCAAACATAAAAAAGGTACTTAGTTCCGATGGTTTAGAATCGACGCGAATGTTATGTCATACACTTGACTTTCTTGAACAGAATCTTCTGACTTATGATCTCTGTAACCTGTTTATCATTGTTATGCATTTCAAATACTCACCTACTTTTTTTATTCGTGCGTAAATGTCATTGTTCCATTAATTAACAGAAATTAACCATACCGCAGTTTTATCAATTACCTACGCAAAAAGTGTTATTAAAAAGCAATTGATATTGGCTCATTATATTTATATAATTTGTAAATTGACTAACTACTATGAGACTTAACTATCTAACTATCTTAAAATCGCTTAGATGGTTAATGACGCTAATTAATATATAATTGTAACGAGACCTGGCTTCGATTGCCAGTTGCAGTCAGTAAGTATCTTGATTAAAGATATTTAGTAATCGAGGTCTGAGTGCACTTGTTCTTGTGTGCATCTAGTGTGTGTTTGTTTTCAACGTCTCGGGTCCACAAAACTAATAATTACTATTTGGCTGAGTACTCATAATACACACTGAGGCTCTCCTTAAAATGAATAAATCCCATTAACTCTATACTTCTCTCTCTCAAAATAATATAATATATCTATAATTGAAAAGGAAACGTAAATGATACAAGTTCTCAATTGTGGAACTCATAAAAAGCTGCGTGTAAACATTTGCTAAAGTAGGTGTCCAGTTAACGTTCAATTGTAAATGCAGTTAAAAACCTTTCTCTTGTGTAAACAAGCTCTATTGTCACAATTATCTGTAGACCCTCGTGTGTTGTTTTTTAGACTTTATTTAATATATTGATTAGTTTATTTCTAAACATCAGTCATTAATACAATTCACGAATGACCAATTAGCTCTGTGCTGCGACAAAACAGATTAGTGCAGCCATTTAAACTACTTTATCTCATTGACAGCGCATCGAATGCGCCTTGTTTATTACTTAACTTGACCTAATAAATGTCAGGTCAGCCGTGTGTGTGTAGTCTATCTACAATTCAATAAGTTGCAACAGCCAGCATTAACTGAGAACAGCCAAGGCACTGCGCTGTGCGATTAGGTACAACTATTGGATATAACCAAAGAAACGAGGTCTCTCGATAAGTATCATATTAGGAAGATCGAGGATCATTTATTTATGGATATGTTCGATTTTCAATCAATGGTATTGCATGTGGGCAAGTAAGACTAATAAAATAAACATTTTTCATCATTTAAGTGCGTTTTGAGGGCATCTTGTGGTAATTGAACGAATGCAGTGAAAGCTGTTAGTCAATCATTTACGACATTGGTTTTATATAAATTGTTTATGATATAAATTTAAGCTGAATGTAAATTGAACACACTTTAGCGGGTACACAAGAACGTCAAGAGTTAGAATTACCGATATTAAATTCGATTATCCTGTTTGGTACCTATTGAATATACGAAAAGTCTCTAAAGCTCTATCGAAGCTAAAAGTCTCCTAGTAATTCTAAATATGTCGATGACGGAGACACACGAATAAAGCGAAAGGAATGAGTTCTAAAATGCATTGTTAATCCTTGACCGGGATTCAGGTAACATCAAGATAAAGCTTTAAATTACTGTTACGTTTGTTTCAGTGCATTTTAGTTACTCATTAGAAACGGATGTGTTTAGGTAACTTAAAAAAATAATAGTACTTACTTATTTCTGGTTTACAGCCGAAAAATTATTTCTGCTTAGTTTAGTTCAACCGATTGGTGGTAAGGCGTCTTGAGGGAACGCTATTTTTTTTAATTCTTCTATTCTAGTGACCTCAAGAGATCATGCTAGATTCGGCGAACGAGTAGGTGAGCTCACGGGGCTCTAAGTTGTGGTCGTTGCTAACACTAACCCTAGCAAGAGTACTAGCCCTAGCAAAAGCATGAGCCCGCACGGCGGATACTAAGTACCGCGATCTCTGCCATGAAACTGTAATAAGTTTCGATTTGAAGTGTAGGACAACCGTAGTACCGTCAAACTGAGACTTAGAAATCATGTCTCAACGTTGTTGGCGGCATTTACTTTGTGGATGTCTATGGGCTCCGGTAATCATTTGACATCATGTGGGCCACGAGCTCGTCTACCCACATAAGCAATAAATAAATAAAATAGACGGCTGTTCAAAATAAGCTGCAAAATAAAATAACTTGGGCGGAACACAGAACGTATTTGCGAATTGTGTTTCAATAAGGGGAAAATTAAATGTCAGACTTAGAACTGGAAACTAGGAAGATATCTGTCTTTAGAAAGTACATTGCTCTTTTTAGATTCTTCTAGAACAAGGTGGCGTAAAATTTGTCTTTGCACTGACGCATTGTTAACTTAAAGATAAGCTTTATGGGATTGTTTTCAGGAAAGTTAACTGTACAACTTGCTGGTTCAAAAACAATAGGTACTTAGAAGTATATGCTGCATTATTAACAATAGGCAGCGGCTTGTCTGTGGCCATGGTATTGCTGATGTCCAGAAGCAACGATGAAGACTACTATCATCGGTCGGGCTTATGCTCGCTCGTTTGCTTACGACAGAAATTGAAAAATATATAAATTTTATTAGGTATCGATCTAGGCATTTACTAAGATATCGTTTAGGATAGATGCATTATATAATAATATAATCCAGACCGTGTGTTGGTATGTCATAGTGATTTTAATCGAAGTCTGGACACGTCATAAGTGGAATTTTGAATCAATAATTTTATTATTGTCCTAGATAGGAGGTGATAGTCTGTACCATGCGGTCCATTCCACTTATTATCGTGTAATAAAAATCAAACCCGCAGAATTATAATTTGCGTAATTACTAGTGGTAGGACCTCTTGTGAGTCCGCGCGGGTGGGTACCACCACCCTATTTCTGCCGTGAATAAGTAATGCGTTTCGGTTTGAAGCGTGGGGCAGCCGTTGTAACTATACTTGAGACCTTAGAACTTATATCTCAAGGTGGGTGGCGCGTTTACGTCGTAAATGTCTATGGACTCCAGTAACCACTTAACACCAGGTGGGCTGTGAGCTCGTCCACCCATCTAAGCAATAAAAAAAAACGAACACAGTGGAGGAACGTCACATATGGTCGCGATCTTCAGCAGTGAGGGAACGATATAGAAGAAGATTCCTAGATAGGAGGACAAGCTAATGGCCCATCTAGTGTTAAGTCTCATCTTAAGCGTTGGCAATGACGTTGTAGTATCTCTAAATTCCGCAGTGGACCACCATAAAGTCTGGTAGCCGTCCCAAAATGTAGCTAGAGCTTTCCTATGATTCACGCTTGTGAACAAAAAGTAAGAAACGGGGGCATAAAACGTTGTTTTTATTATTTATACTAACTGATAAATTCAATTAAACATGTACAGATAACATGTAACTCGACCTTACGGATCATGTTAACTATAATTACGAGTAATGCCACTCGTCCGAGATTTCATAGAATCGTCCACATACCGCATACCAGTTACCGCATTACTTTGTGTCTTAAAATTGGATTATTCAACCTATGTGTTTTGGAGCAATCAAAGAGAATGAATATGAAACCCAGAAAGATAATAATTGTGGAACTAGAATTTTAAAATTAAATATATTTTTGGGGTAAGCTTGGTTTGAAACTGAAGAAATCTACTTTTAAATAAAGGATTGTCGTTTTTCGCAAGCTTATCAAAACCTCCTCCTCACGTCTCAAATGAGGCGGATCTACCTGCCGCTTAACACCCGGAAGACCGTGTGCCGGTCTCGCTGTGTACACTATTAAAAAGCACGTCATTACGGATCCTCCTGATCCACTAACGGTGCTTTTAGGCACCTCAAGCACAGGTCACCGGTCTCGTCGAACCCGTCGCATGAAGGATTCGGCGAGTAAACTAATCCATAGACACAGCCCACTGAGTTACTCCCCGGATCTTCCCAGTGGGTCGCGTTTCCGATACGGGGGTAGATTCTGCGAAGCACTGTTCTTGCTAGGGTTAATGTTAGCAACGTCGTCAGGTTTGAGCCCCGAGAGCTCATCTACACGATAATGTTACGCCAACATAGCCTCTTAAGTCTATCAGATTAGGTAGGAAAAAAATAAAATTTAAAACACATAAACTACCGAAAGTCAAGATATTGAAACGGAAGATAAAATGTAGTTCATCGATAGATGTCATCTAGAAGCGGTCGTTTAGTTAGAATTAATGGTACCTAACTGTTTGTGTATACAAAGCAAGCTTCCCTCTTCACTAAGAGGTGCGAAAATTACCTTTCATAATTGAATCATTTAGAACATCAAGCTTACGCTTCTGAGAAATTCGAACCATACACTACTTATTTATATTCGAAAGTTTTTCGTATATAAATGACTGTATTGAAATAAAAAATATAAAAAAAAAAAAACGTTATTTTTATTATTTTTGATGCGTATCATCTCTGAGAATTCTTAAATCCAAAACTTACTAAATAACATAATATATTAGTGATATAATAATATAGTGTTCTTTATTTTTGGGTCTTTCCAAATTAATCTCTACAATTTGGATGTAATTTACATACTAAGATATGAATGTATCAACATTTAGCCATTCTCCGCTTAAATCGGTTGACAAATTAAATTTGAAGTGTACGGCTTTACGCTCGTAATTCTTAAAAAGAAAATTATAAAAAAAAAAAAACAATTTTAAAACTTATCGCCTTAAAATGTTAAACCAGTTAATCTCTAAATATCAATAGGAAATAAAAAGGGTTAAAGTACTCACGATTCCGTTCGGCATGTCGGCCTTTTAATTCTAAATTAAACTAGGAAGCACTTTGTTCGTTTTTGTACCGGTTGAGCGGAGTCAGAATACGACGAGGAGTGTACGTATATATGTCGTGAGCGCGCGCCGTCTACGATGGACTGACTGCGCGAATGTATATAGCTGGCTTGAACTAGCTCCTCGCTTCGATCATTTGGGTTCAAGCGTGCGCCGGCGTCGGGTCGGATCCAGGGAATAAAACTAAGCACGGCTATAGTTTGTGACATACTTAGATCGTAATAATTAGGCTTATATTTTTTTTTAAAACTAATTTCAACTATTTTAGTATGGAAGGATAGCGAGAGAGAGACAGAGAGAGAGAGAGAGAGACTATACGTTACGTTTTTTTTTTTTTTTTTTATTGCTTAGATGGATGGACGAGTTCACAGCCCACCTGATGTTAAGTGGTTACTGGAGCCCATAGACATCTACAACGTAAATGCGCCACCCACCTCGAGATATAAGTTCTAAGGTCTCAGTATAGTTACGACGGCTACCCCACCCTTCGAACCGAAACGCATTATTGCTTCACGGCGGAAATAGGCGGGGTGGTGGTACCTACCCGTGCGGACTCCCAAGAGGTCCTACCACCAGTGATAACACACAATTTATAATGAAAATCAATCAATAGGCAGGTTAATTTGGATAGTAGGCGGTCTTACCACTGAAAGCGATCTCTTCCGGCATACATTTTCATACAAGAAAATTATGGAAGATGAAGTAGGTATTTTGCGGTTTACTACGGTTGAGGTTGTCCATATAAAACCTTCAGTCCCCCTCCAGGCTGAGCCCTTGCTCACCCACCTGCTCTGGTTAAACCGGAAAGGCCTCTGGGCCACCAGTAATCTCTCAAACATAAAAAAAAAACCTTCAGTATGGTTTTGTTTAACTTTTCGAAATACATAGGTAGTTCGTGAACAAAAAAGATCCTTAGGTTGAAACCGTAATACAATAAAATTGTTTGTATAATGTGGACATGTAGGTACCTACAAGCCGTCATGAGGTACGAATATCACCATCACCACTATTGAAACTTCCACCTCATCTCACAAGTAGGATAGAAACATCCACATCGTGATGTCTATAGACTCCCAGTGTAACCGCTAAACCAAAAGTTGACCGCGAACTCAGCTACTTACGTGTGTATTAATAAATAACTAGTAGTCGCCCGGTAGCCGAAATTAGACCATAATTATGAGTATTAATTTAAATTATAAGTTTGAACATTATTATGTTTCTATTAATCTATTCTCAACTTAAGCACAGACTTTAATAATAAACAAAATAATATATATATATATATATATATGCGTGTGCGTGTCTAATACCTACGTTAGTGTGTGTGATGTTTTCTTTATTGGTTTAATGTATTTTTTAAGCATTATTTAAAAAAAAGTTGTATTCTGCACTCCTTCTCTATATTCTCTATAAGTGTGGGAAATTTCATACTCCCTCCGTTCACGCAATTTTCGTAGAAAGGGGTATAAAGTTTTTGCTTCACATACCTATTAATATATAGATAATATTTCATTTCATTTCTCAAATTCAAAACTTATATCTATAAACAATTTTATAACAGTCAATACTTACTTAAAATCATCAGTTAAATATCATTCAATATTTCTTATCTTTATTCTAATTACCAGCTAGAACATATTTTTAATTTAATAAAGCAATTATGTTTATGATTATAATTATTTAAACAAGTCGCTAAAATAAACTACGCTTCTTAAAATGATGCTCAGCATGAAACAAGTCTATCATTACACACTTTGATACATTGACGCATGTTCTGAACCTATTTCTGGGTTCAAGATGCTCAAGAGGTTCGTATTTTCGGACGCTATCGGTCAATCAACGTAGCACTTGACAACGTTTGTAAGGTATCGGCTACCATGATCAAAAACGCTTTGTAAAGTCTTAAAGATTTTTTAAATATTATTTGTTTTTTGCGTAGACCGGTGAACGAACTCCCTCTTTTTTGTCTCCACCTTATCCCACTAGGTGGGGTCGGCACAACGATTTTTTCTATTCCATTCTCTTCTATCAGCCGACCTCTCAACACTCACTCTTATTTCTCCCTCTCTCATAATATCGTCATTCACACACTCCATCCATGTCCAAAGGATAGGAGTCGAAGCCTTAGTCAATGGATATCCAAACCGCGATGTGCCTGAGCTAAAAACTCTTAACACTATAAAGGAAGAACGACGAATCTTTGGAAATGAATAAGGATAAGGAAACGATGCAGAAGGTCCTGAAAGTTATATTTTTTTTTCTTTTTTTTTATTGTGTAGATAGATGTACCAGCTTACGGCCCACCTTGTTTTAATTGGTCACCGGAGCCTCAAGACATCAACGAAGTTAATGCCGCCACCCACCTTGAGACATAAGTTCTAAGTCTCAGTTTTTACAGTACAATGGAGGTACCCACTCATCAAGCCAAATTATTGTTTCACAGCAGAAATATGTAGATTGGTGGCAACTACCCGTGCGGGCTCTTATAAAACGTCCTACCACTAGTAGGTAATTACGCAAAATATATTTTTTGCGTGATGTCAATCGTGAACATTCGACAGTAGTATTTCATCAGAGAACTTGGTATCAGACTGCTGGATTCGAAAACCGATACAGTTGCGTCGCTCAATACCTCTCTGAGTTTCCCGCCGGATCTTTTCAGTAGTAAGCGATTCCGATCCGCGGTTGAGCTCGTGAGCTCACCTACCCTCGTCCGGGTGTAGCTGGGATAGCGCCTTAGGCTACCAGCTAATTGATAGAAAAAAGTTACGAATGCACCGGGCGTCTCAACCTTTAGGGCACGACGACTTCTATAAGTAGGTATAGGGTTCGATCCTTAAAACTTCGATCGACTAATTGAAAGACAGTTAAAATTATTTTTAAAAAAATACTATTAAATCTTGTGCGACCCAAACACACCGCGATGACCTCATGGTTGGTACGTTGCACCTCAAATTACGGTCAAGTCAACATAAAACGAGCAGTGTTATCGCTATTTAATTTTGTATACAAACAACATCGTAAAACGTCGGCGAATATTCGCACCTTCCAACATGGAAGCTAATAAATAAATGCTTCAAGTTTTTATTAAACTAAAACTGGATTTATATCGGCTACGTTGTCTTGTTTCTGAGGAGTACGTGACGTCACAATCGAGAACGCATTAGATAAGAGTTCAAATGTCACGTTGAGAAATGAACCATATCAAAACGGTACGCGACCGTGCCGCCTTCATATTAGGACGTCTCTACCATATGCTTTGCAAGTGAAGCAAATTTTCCCTCCGTAATAAGAGGACACTCTACAAAACTTGCATACTTATGCCCCGTCATGATGTATGCAAGCGTAGTGTTCGCTCACGATGCCCGCACTAACTTGGAACCCCTTGTTATTCAATCCCGATTTTACAGGATAGCCGTCGGAGCTCCACGGTTCCTAAGGAACGTGGATCTCCATGATGACCTGGAACTTGACTCAGTCAGTAATTATCTACAGTCGACATCACTGTGCCACTTTGAAAAGGCGGCACGACATGAGAACCCTTTTGTCGTGGCCGCTGGAAACTACATACCCGATCCTGTAGACTGAATGGTAAACAATCGACGTCGCCCAAAACACGTCATTACGGATCCTCCCGATCCATTAACGGTGCTTTTAGGTACCTCCAGCACGGGTCACCGTCCTCGTCGAACCCGTCGCTTGCGACGAAGGGCTCGACGAGCGAATTAACCCACAGACACAGCCCACTGAGTTTCTCACCGGATCTTTTCAGTGGGTCGCGTTTCCGATCCGGTGGTAGATTCTGCGAAGCACTACTCTTACTAGGGTCAGTGTTAGCATCACTCCGGTTTGAGGCCCGTGAGCTCACCTACTAGTTAAGGATACGCTGAAATAGCCTCTCAGGGCTATCAGCGTAGGTTTACTGGTGGTAGGGCCTCTTGCGAGTCCGCATGGGTGGATACCTTCACCGTGCCTATTTCTGCCGTAAAGCAGTAATGCGTGTCGGTTTGAAGGGTGGGGCAGCCGTTGTAACTATACGGAGACCTTAGATATCTCATGGTGGGAGGCGCATTTACTTTGTGGATGTCTATGTGCTCCAGTAACCACTTAACACCAGGTAGGCTCGTCCATCTTTCTAAGCAATAAAAAAAAGGGTAGAAAAAAAAAGAGAAATGAAACGAACGAGTTCGATTATAGTATTTATTTAGGTTTCTGTTTGACGTTCCGGTGCACGATCCGGCGGTGGCGGCTCACGCAGCCCGCCGTCCGGAACGTCTTGCCGCACTCCTGGCAGCTGAACGGCCTCTCGTCCGTGTGCATCCGGCTGTGCACCTTCAGGATGTCGTTCGTGTTGAACCGCTTCCCGCACGTGTGACACTCGAACTTCCTCTCGTTCGCGTGGTACACGAAGTGCTTCCGGTACTGGGCCAGTATGTGGAACGTCTTCCCGCAGACCTCGCAAGTCTTCTTCGGCGTCGGGTCGTGGACCGCGCGGTGTATCAGGAGCCCGCTCTTGAACTTGAACTTCTTGTCGCATACGTCGCACGAGTACTTCTTGCCGACGTTGTGCGCGTCGAGGTGGCTGGCCAGGTTCCTCGTGTGCTTCCCGCATATCTCGCAGATCTTGCTGTAATCGTACGTCTTTCTTAATTTGCGAATCTTCTTTTTCCTGATCATCTTCCTCTCTTTTTTCAGGATGGTTTTCGTCTTCGTCCGGTTGGAGGGGAACACGTCGAAGGCGACGCTGGCCTCGCCGCCGTCCAGGTCGCCTTTGGTGTCGTCACAGTCGCTGACGTCACGCCCGCCCACATCGTTGTCGTCGACGCGATACTCCTCAGAGTTCTGCAGTATTTCCTTCTTGATGACCGTAATCCTCAACTGCTTATCCGTGCTTCTACACTTCAATCTGAACTTAAAGGCGTTTTCCAACTCCTGGAGGCAATTGTAACATATTTGCGACGGTAGCTGATCGGTTCTTTCGACCTGAAACATTACAATGTTCACGCAATACTTTTATAATTAGTTAATTGGTAAAGTTTTTGGAAATTGAAATTTTTCTAAAATCTCCAAATCATGTTAACATTGATTTTTATATACATATTTCATTGAAATTACTAAATATAAACGAAAACATATTTTTGTACTATGGAGATGTTAATGCTAGGATTATATATTTGAATTAAAATTACATATTTTATGAAATAGGTATGACTATAATTTTGATATCTATTAAATAAATGACGTACAACTTTTTTATATACATAGCTCGGTGAACGAGTAAAGCGTGCACGGTGTTAAGTTGATAATGGATGTCATGGTCCATAGTCATGACAATGTAAATACCCCCCTCACTTGGAGACATGAGGTCTAGGACCCGATTATAAAATGTAACGGCTAAGCGGATTGTTCATACCGGATTGCACGGCTGTTTCGCGGGATGACCAGCATTTCTCCAGTCACGCCCAACCACCGGTGAACACGTGTCAAATACGTTTTTCATTAGAGAAATGTGGGATTCGAATACCGGCACAATTGCGTCATTCGATATGAGTAAGCCGGGCGTCTTATCCCTTGAGCCATGACGACCTCACATCTCACAAAATATCGATCATTCGCTTTCAAAATATCGATCATTCGTTTTCAAAACATCGATTACTCGTTTTCAGAATATCGATTATTCGTTTTCCAAATATCGATCATTCCCTTTCAAAATATTGATCATTCGTTTTCAATACATCGATTACTCGTTTTCAGAATATCGATTATTCGTTTTCCAAATACCGATAGTTCGTTTTCAGAACATCGATTATTCGTTTTCAGAACATCGATTATTCGTTTTCAGAACATCGATTATTCGTTCTCAGAACATCGATTCTTCGTTTTCAAAAAATTGACTATTCATTTTCAAAATATCGGTTATTCGTTTTCAACATATCGATTATTCGTTTTCCCGCAGCTTACCTCGATCCCGCCAACGGCCTTCAGTTTGAACGCCAAGTCAAATCCGTTGTCGTCTTTCCGTTCGTATATGTCGACGCTGCCGTCCTCGGTGAGGCAGGCCCGGCAATGGTTCCCAAACTCATTCTTCGGCTTGAATTCGAGCCTCCGTTTCAAATCGAACAGTTTAATGTCGTCTTCGTAATCGTCTACATTGTGGTCACCCTCGTCGGAATGTATTTCTTCTTTGTGCTTGTTAATTGGCCGTTTCTCTCTGATATCATCGAAGCGCGCCATTGCGTCGTAATAAGGCCACTGCTCGTTCAGTATACCTTTTTCGGCGAATTTTTTTTTCCACTGAAAAAATATTCAAAATATAAACAATGGTGTAAGCGTATGATGAACACCAAGCTACGCTGTTCTGTGCCGTGCTATATTATTCAGCCATCTCAATATTCAAATGTTATTAATATACAATAAGGATCGTGTAATAAAAATCAAACCCTCAAAATTATAATTTACGTAATTACTGGTGGTAGGATCTCTTGTGAGTCCGCACGGGTAGGTACCACCACCCTGCCTATTTCTGCCGTGAAGCAGTAATGCGCTTCGGTTTGAAAGGTGGGGCAGCCGTTGTAACTATATTTGAGACCCTAGAACTTATATCTCAAGGTGGGTTGCGCATTTACGTCGTAAATGTCTATGGGCTCCAGTAACCACTTCACATGAGGTGGGCTGTGAGATCGTCCACTAATCTAAGCAATAAAAAAAAAACAAATTCCTTCAAGTCCAACAAGTCAATTAAGAAAATATGTTTCGAGCATTAAAAAATATCGTGATTGAAAGTAAGACACAATTAAATAACAGAATGAGACTGTCGTAGTAGGCTAGTAGCTGAGCTCAAATAATAACCGATTTCAAAAATAGAGGAGGTTATCAATTTAATTGTATTCTGTTTTATGTGTGATTTTATAGTGTTCGTTCAACAATTGGAATTCGTTCATCGTTCAATCACAATTACCCGCAGACACCTCAAAATTCAAATTAATTACATTGTCTGTTTTGTTACAGATATTCGAACGAATTGGAACTATTTTCAAATAAAGTATCGTTGATTAAAATCGGTTTACAAACGAAACACTTTTTTGCCTTTTTATAATTTAAAAAAATGGAAAGAAGTGAAACTTCTTTTGCGATGTGTAGCTTTTTTTTTGTTGCCTAATATAGACAGCTGACCTTGAACGTATTGAGTAAGTGCTTCCATATCTCCGGCAGGTCGAGGACGCTGTGGTCTGCAGGCAGCCCCATGCTCCTCAACCGTTTCTCAACTTCTCTGCCACAAAAACGATATATCTTATCTTAGACATACATATTATCTTACTTATATTATATGTATATTTACACTAACAGTGTCAAATACAATATTTTTCGACAAAATAAAATAAAGTAAGCAGATCTAATGGGATCGTTCCAACAACGAGCCAGTTGTCCACCGACCGATACTAGTGACACTAAAAGACGTCCTCCGGTCTGGGGCATCATCACTGAGCACACAATGTGAGATAAATCCATAATCGCTAACAATTAAACTTATTTCAATATCTTTCACGGAATCCACAATAAAATTAACTCGGCTACCAGCTACCGCACCTGCAGGTTAGGCCGAGGGTCATAGATTCGATTCCCACATCGGGCAAACGTTGTGATGAACAAGCTTTTTTTTTTGCACAGGAGAAAATCGCCGGATCCCCACCCGCACGGCGGGTAGGGTATGTGGGAGTTGAACCTCACTAAAAACTCCTGTCGCTCACAGCCGGCGCCCTACCCCGGACCGGGTGGGAACCCAGTCGGAGCTATTGAGACGGCGGGACAGGGTTTACGCAGAGCATATTACATCCATCCCGCCGTTCCCCAGACGCCGGACCGGCGGCCGCCAGCGACACGACCGCCGGTTCCCTCGGTCGACGGGCCAAGAGCCCGCATTGATGGATGGCGCCGCGCTACACCTTCCCCCGGAGCGGTCGGGGGAACGCGCCTTACCACGCCTCCCCACGCCTAGGCTCCTTCCCGCACAAAACGGGTGGAGCCCGAAGCTCTTAGGGGGCCGGGTTACGGACGAGACCCCGGTCCCGACCCCCTGCTCGGCAGCGGCGGATTTCTGCGTAGTGAGGAGAGCTTTGCCTCACTCGCCCCGCCGCCTCCTTCTGCGAGATGGTGCACTTGCAGAAGTCGAGCATAGCCTTCCAGGACTCGTCACCGCCAAGCATCGACGCCACGACGCCAGGCAGCGACTAGTCCAGTCCTATCTTTGCGACCAGGACACGGCGCTGCACCTCCCAAGCGGGGCAGACAGCGAGCGTATGCTCCGCCGTGTCCAGGTTGTGTCCACAATGGTGGCACCTCGTCGTCGGCTCAGCTCCTATCCGGTGCAGATACTTCCCGAAGCATCCGTGCCCAGTCAGCACCTGCACCAGACGGAAGGTGAGGCGTCCTCGGCCACGATTCACCCAGTCATCAAAGACTGGGTAAACCGCCTCGACGGTCCGTAGACCCCACGTGGGGTTGGCCAACCGCCTCGACCACGATTCGAGGATGAAAGCTTGTCTTCAGTTTGGGTTTCTTAATATCTATATAACATTTAAACATATATACATAAGTATGTATATCAGTGTGGCTCATATAGTACAGGAAATCCTAGTTTAGACCGAAATAGCCGTAAGCGTCTCTGGTTATTATTATTATCATAGTTTCACCTTGGAAATTCACGTCCTGCATAAGCTTGCGATACAATTTTTATTCAATATGGCTGCTTTTTTCGTGGTAATGTACGTAGTAGTGTCCAAATTTATGTTTTAAGTAGTGGAGTAGGTGTTTGGGAATGATGCCGGTACTGGAAAGCACGATAGGCACAATGGATACTCTATTATTATTATTATAATTTGAGTAGAAAACGAACTGTGAACTGACCTCCACGCTCTGACGGGATGCTTCGAGTAGTTCTGAAATGATTTCTCCAAGTCTATTCTGGCATTTATCAAATTAAACACCCACTCTTCTTGCCCTGTCAATTTTGAATCTAATTAAACATTCCTCTTGATAAACCGGTATTATTAATTTATATTATATATAAAAATAAAAATAAATATTATAATGTATTGTATGTAATGATTTGAAATGAAAATTAATCAATTTGCTATATTTTGTTTATATTTCATAACAGCTTTCCTTCGTTTGCCGCTAGGGGCGCTGTTCCAACTCCATACAAATATGAGTTAACTTATACGCGATGAGGAGTTAAAAAACTCGCACTAAGCAACACTGAGCGGCAGCTCAATTTTATTTGTTTTACATTGCGTGCCGAGCAAAAACATTAATAAGCTATATTTCGACGGCTATCCTTTAGTGCTTTCCCATGTAACGAACTGAACTCAAGATCCATCATTATATAAGGTAGTGTAGTTACATAAGATAGTGAAGTAAGAACGTATACTTACAGCCCAAAAGCGGATTCAGACTTAAATTTCCGTCTCCCAAATACAATTCGAATAAATTATAATAAACCCATAGCTTGTTATTTGTGGCTCTCGCTTTTTGGTACTCCTGAAAAAACAAAAGCTCAATGAGAACTTACGTTTGAAAAGTTTACCTCACAATATTAGTCGATGCTTTTCTAATTGCTCCTGCCTATTTCTGCCGCGACCTAGTAGTGCGCTTTGATTGAAAATACAGTTAAGACTTCGAGCTCGTGGCTCGAGGTGGATGACGTCATTAACGCTGTGTTGTCTATGGTTTCCGGTAGGTAGCCGCTTCACACCACAGGACATGGACTCGCCCATATGAAGGAATACAATAAATAATTAAGCAGACGCATCGCTTTTTTAAATTCTATTAAAGATGATCAAAACAGTTGTTAAGATGTTAATTATATTTCGTACTAGTTGCGGCCGCGGCTTCGCCCGCTATAAAATGCTAATTTATATTAAAACATACCTAATAGCCATAAGACGATTCAGAAAGCTAACTACGTGAGACAATTTTAGGCGAACATATTATTATGTCCATAACAACATACATTCGCCTTTATAGATATAGATATTGTAAATGTGGAGTTTAAGTGAAATTGTGTTATTTCGGACTTCATATTTTTTATAATTTTTCATTGTATTATTATTATTCAATAATCTTATTTTTAATTTCAAGACGTTGTCCAGTATTGCACTGTCATGTGCAATATTCACATATGTTCAGAATTGGTGATCACTTTCATGATACAAGTAATTGTCCTTTAAAAACTGAGACCTTAGAACCCATATCTCAAGGTGGGTGGCGGCATTTACGTTGTAGATGTCTATGGACTCCGGTAAGCACTTAACACCAGGTGGACCGTGAGCAATAAAGGAAAAAAAGTAGGTATTTTTAATTTAATTATGCCCACTACTTGATTCCATCGTCTCAGATGCTTTCCAAAGAGCCGAAGATACGACGAGATGGCACAGCATCGGTTAGTACTGGATGGAGGGGGGTCCGACCTTGAAACATGAGGAGCACGACCGGAAGAGGGGGATATATGATTCGAAAATATCGTTGGGTAAAGATAATAAAAACAACTCACTGAGAACATGGACGCCCATTTGCGACATATTTCTCTCGACGTCAAAGTCGCCGGGAACCCGTACTCGTTCAGCATTATTTTTAGGAGCTCACTAAAATATATATATATATATATATGTTATACAATTTAATTTCAGTCAATCAATGAACAAACAACAGCATGCCCGACTCGAGTTTTTACTGATGGTAGGACCTCTTGTGAGTCCGCGCGGGTAGGTACCACCACCCCGCCTGTTTCTGCCGTGAAGCAGAAGTGCGTTTTGGTTTGAAGGGTGGGGAAACCGTTGTAACCATATTGAGACCTTAGAACTAATATATCAAAATGGGTGGCACATTTACGTTGTATATGTCTATGGGCTCCAGTAACCATTTAACACCAGGTGGGCTGTGAGCTCGTCCACCCATCTAAGCAATAAAAAAAAAAAGCGTGCGTTCGAGTGTCACGCATTCACTCTCGCTCCGTCTCTTTCTATTCTATGATAGCGTTAAACGTTTAACGCAACCTCGTTGGAAGTCGCATTAGAAGTTCCACTTCAAAAACACGGCCATTGGTTGAGATAACGCGCGCGCCATCTGACGTACATCGGCGGTCCCGCGACAACGGCCGCGCCAACAACCAACTCACAGGATCACAAACATACAAACATTTCTATATTAGATATAATTGCTTTCATTATTATGTCGTTACCTCCACGCGCATTTCCTCTCTCTGAACAACCAGTCGTTTTGCAGCCTAATTTGTATAAACGATTCCGTTATGTGTTTAGACCCTGCGAACAATAATTATGATTGCATGTACATATTATTATTAATACTATTTATTTAAAAAAAAAAAATAGAATTCTAAGATTAAGATAAAGTCATCGACATAGCTCAAAGAGTCAGCAAGCTGAAGTGGCAGTGGGCTGGCCATATATGCCGTAGGATTGACGATCGCTGGAGCAGACGGGTTCTCGAGTGGAGACCGCGCAGCGGAAGACGTAACGTGGGACGCCCCTTGGCTAGATGGTGCGATGACCTCCGCACGGTGGCCGGCAAGAAGTGGATGAGGAGAGCCGCAGACCGAGCTCAGTGGTGTGGATTGGGAGAGGCCTATGTCCAGCAGTGGACGACTGTGGGCTGTTGATGATGATGATGATGATGATGAAGATTAAGATTCTATATTTCTATATTCGAATTCGAATTCGACGAATTCTATATTCGTGTTCTAATCTACGATTCGTAGAACGTAGACATAGACGTAGAAACGTGATTGTGATCGTAGATTAGAAGACGAATCCTCAATCACGTTCAACGTTCATCAGATACTTCAACTAAATATATTATGTACCTTTTTTTTTTAACGCTGGGGAATCCATTTACGGATACCCGGTCGAGGGGGTAACGGACCGGGTTATGTCGGACTCCGGCGCCTCCTGAGAGGAAGAAGGGGAGAAGAAAAAGGCCGAGATCCTCCACCTCCCCTAATTTCTCACAGAAGACTACGCCTTGAAAAAGGCGCGCGAAGCTCTTGCCCCGCAGAACGACTACCGACTAAACCCCATCGAGCTCCACCACACCGACTACATGAAACTTACGGTACTGCGGTGCGCGCCGAAAAATATATTATGTACCTACCCTCCAGATCGGAACTAATGATTTAGTCTCGACAGAAATAGTACAATAAAAGGTTTTTATTTATACATCACTACGTGAACGCTGCCACCGGGCTTGAGCTATGAGGCCTAAGTCTCAAACATCAGATCAATTTTTTTTAAATGACGTATACATTTCTTGTCTAGACGTCGTTTTTATTAATTACTTTACTTGTCGCCCATGACATTAACAAGCTCAACAAACTGTTAGCATTGAGCACGTACGATCTTCATACATTCCAAAAAACGTATACGTGCCGTGAGGTAGGTCTGCCAATCTAACACCAGCGCAATAAACGTGATAATAATAATAATATGTATTAATGGTCTTTCACAACAAATGAACCAATCAGTCGTTGACCCCGTTCCGATCCTTCTATAGCTCACTTACAATGAAATTCATTTTCATTATCATTGTCATCAGTGTTGGCGCCCTTTCGTTTCTTCCGGTACTTCATAGAGTCCCTTTGTCTGCAAAAGAACACGTATGCGGGCTCATTTTCTAAATTCATCAGATAGTCGGTTTCGTAATTCTTGAAGTATTCTAACATCACATCATACAAAGGCCACTCCGTGAACTCCGCTCCCTTCTTCAGTTTTTGTCGATGTTTCCTCTGCAATGAAATAATGTTTTATTTGTGTACTGGCCATTGTATGATTGTTTTGATTAAAATGAAATTATTGCTATTTTTACTATAATATATAACTCAGAAAAATATATTATTGTAAATTCTAATTTACAATAATATATTTTTCTGAGTCGGTCTCTTCATTGCTGAAGGTCCTCCACTTCGATAAAGCGGCACGACACGAGAACCCTCTCATCGTGGCCGCCAGTAACTACATTCCCGATCCTGCGGACAGAATGGAAAGCAGTCGACGTCGCCCAAAACACGTCATCTCGGATCTTCCCGATCCACTAACGGTGCTTTGAGGTACTTCAAGCACCGGTCACCGTTCTCGTCGAACCCGTCGCTTGCGACGAAGGGCTCGACGAGTAAATTAACTCTCAGACACAGCCCACTGAGTTTCTCGCCGGATCTTCTCAGTGGGTCGCGTTTCCGATCCGGTGGTAGATTCTGCGAAGCACGGCTCTTGCTAGGGTTCGTGTTAGCAACGTCATCAGGTTTGAGCCCCGTGAGCTCACCTACAAAAGTTAGGGTTACGCTGAAATAGCCTCTCAAGGCTCTCAGCTTAGGTAGGAAAAAAAAAAAAACGCTGAAGGTCGTGTCTGGGTTGAAATGTAAACCACTCGATGCAAAATGCTTCCCCACGTCCTCCTGTACTCGGCGGTCTTTATATTCCTCGGTTATTGGCAGGCCGGTGAGGGTCTTTACTAGATCAGACCAGCGGGTAGGTGAGCGACCGCTTGATCTTCTCCCGTCAACCTGACTAACTACCATCAGCTTCTCTAAATCTCTAAGTTATATAATAATTTACGATGGCACAATTAATTCTTTAATTTAATAATAAGTCGCTTTAGTTTTAAATATTAGAACACATTTCTCGTTATTAATTTATTTAACTCCAAAAATAAAAAAATATATAGTTTTAATTTTCGTTACATTAACATTACATTTTGATTTAAATAAATAAATAAACTTGAGTATGAAAATTGCTGAGGAAAAGTATTGAAGTTTCCAAATGAGATTAATGTTTCTTGTGTTCCATATTCTCAAGTCTATTTGGGGCTTACGACAAAGGGAAGATCTTCCACCGAGCGGGTGATATTGCTCGGTAGACCAACGATCTGAATGTTGTTGTTCGGAACTTGTATATATGCGCTTTACTTTGAAAATGTCGTACGCGAGATTCAGGCATCTGTTAATTATCCCGCGTTGTATGATGGCTACCCGCCACATCTACTTTTTTTTAAATGCTTATAGATGATTTAGAACTTACATTAAATGTCACACGTATGTGTTGCCAAAGTCCTTTCATGTCCTGTATACAACAGTCTAAAGGTAAATCCTGGCATCTCATTGCTTTTTCTATGGTACTAAAAATAAAAATGTCGCACATTGTTCAAAAATGACTTTAACCTTATAAATTTGATGGCCTTCAAAATTTGGCCTTAAAACATGAGGTTTGGACTCATTGGACTAATATAGCAAATATTTTGCTAAAAATCACTATCATAATTTCGAACTTTACTTTTTGTGTTATTTACAATTTGCATATAATAATTTCACTTCTAAAGATTAAGTGTGAGTTTCAACCATCTAAGCAATTTTATTTATGTCTGTGATTAAAATATACAAATAAATTTAAGAAAAATTATTTTTTCTTTCTTTATCGCTACTTTAAGTCAACAATGAGGTCGAATTTGGAGGATTTAAACGTTATAATTACCGCCACATAGTATGGAAATCCAATTTCAATCCCTTTGTTTCACTAATACATGTTACCAGTTTCAAACGCCATTCATCACTCCCTGTAAATAAAGAGAACTTCATTAAGTGTTTATTTATTGACATTATGATTTGCAAAAAAAAAAGTTGAATGATAGGCCTGGCACTAAGTGTACTGACAATCTGCTAAATATAGCTGGATGAGGGCTACACAGTACCATAATTATACCTTGGGACCTGTGTCCAGCAGATGTCTGTGGCTGATGATGATAAAAAAAAATGCTGCATGGACATACGAGCTCAAAGTGACCTTATGTTAAGTTACTAGTCAAAACTATACTATTACAGCTATAACAATGTGCATCCCCTTCCCGCCTTGGGTCATTAAGTCAGTTTCAATGCATAATATGATTGTATAATGTACTAGCTGTCCCACCCTTCAAACCAGAATAGCAATGATTTAACAGTAAGCAAAACCTTTTTCTTTTTTTCATACTATTGTGGTATGTTTTGCTTATTTGGTTCCACATTTTTTATCACAAAGTTTATATCTAAACATTCTCTGGAGGAAAATGATATTAGCAAATAGATATCTCATTAGGACACCAATTAATATTAATTAATTTTTTTTATTTAATCAATGGCCTGGATTCTAATATTTTAAGCAATACTATTTTACTATGCTTATTCCCTGTGTATTATAATGATTAAACATTTCCAGTCTATACTTAATCATAATACTTACATGAATCATATTTATCTAACGTCTTAGATGTAGAGAAATTTTTATCAAAGATCTTGTAATATTTCCATACTTTATTTTTATTTCTTTTAGCTATTCTATACATCTGAAAACATAAAGAATTTTCCAAGTGTATTATTATGGGATTGTGATATTTATTTAAGCTTTAAAATCAATGATTACAATGTAACAACTATTTATTAATCAATGTATGAATTGCTGTACCCGTTAGCTGTTGTTAGTTTGTTATTAGTTCATGTAAAACTATAAATAAAATTTGTAAGCTGTACACTTAATGACTTGAATTTTTTTATTTTAAATCAGTTTAATTATTAAAGTTGAAATCAAAACAATATTAGAGAAATACTCACATCATATGTATAGCCCCACTTTTTTCTTATGTGTTTAACGCTCATTTCTTCAGGGAAGCCATCCTGCAGCATTATTTCCCTAAATTCTCTATAAAGAAATGTAACAACACTCACAATTATTTATGTATTTGTATTTCCAAAAGATATTTATTCGAATTAGAATGTTAAGCATTAAATATGTTTGTTTAATATTATTTGCTGCCTGTGCAAATAGTAATTAAACATTATTCAAGGACTTTGTGTAGGTGAACAATTGGATCATTAATGATTAACATGGGTCTGTTTTAATATTTGCACTAAAGTATCTTACGCCCACGGCTGCTTCTTTTTTTTAAACAGCCAATCATTTTGAAACCGCAGTTCTAAAAATCTGTGTGTACGCTTTGGAGTCCCTAAAAAAACAAATTCAATTATTTTTAAAACGTATTTTGTAAATTATTCAGGACCAATGTTATGCCCTTACAAACAAAAGTTTTCTCTGCCATGACAACTTTTATAAATAAAACATTAAAATATGAAAATACATTTGTTTGTTATTTAGATATTTGAAAAAAATATTTGTTTACAAATATAAATTAAATAGAGAAAATGATGGACCAAGTTTCAAGTGTTGGCAGATGTCAATGTCAAAGATTGCAATATTTCCATTTCTCCATCTGAAAAGGCGAAGGTATCACATCCTATTCTTATATCTTCACACGCCTAATCTTTTGTATATTCTATTCTCTTTCATGAAAAATGATATCGAACGAAATAAAATAAAGTTGATTAATTTAATACATTAATCAATTGTCATGAAATTAAATTAAATGAGATTATATGATATGGGTTGAAATATAATCCCAGAAAAATGATGTTTATTTACTAAGTCTTTTTCAGTGCACTTTTTGAAAGATCCCGAGAAGCTATTGTGTATAAATGTCCTGCGGCTTTGTTTCAATTTCCCACATTTGTGCACTTTCACATATACTAGATAGTTAACAAACCACCGTTATTGTACGTTTAAGGCTGATTTTTCCATTGATTAATTGTTGCGTATTCTAATTTCTAGGAGTGGTCGAACATTACCTACAACTCGAACCTTCAACGCTCTTTCTCCCACTTTCAAATTAGGGTATAAGCTGTAAACTACAAAGTTAAACTAAAAGTAGCAGCTAACTGTGACTTGATACAATCAATAAATATGATTTTGGGAATAATGTTGTTGTTGACATATTGTCCTTTTTTAATTTGTCCATTAAAATGAAGGTCAATGTCATCCGCTTAACAAATTTAAAATTCCCGCGTACATCTTTGCCCTGCAGAAAACTGATAAGGATGTTGCCATAAAGAGCATTTGTTGAAAATGAGCAGCGATGTGCCATGTGATCTACTAACTGATGAAAAGCATTTTGTAATATCAACCAATCGCTTATTGTTTCGATTGGTTTAAATTTAAATTAGAATATATTGAAATGTTCTAAAATGGACAGTTTTTTTCCAAATTTCTATGAAAAAGGAAATATACATAATTAAGAATTAAATTTTTTGCTCTGAAAACATTTTTTTCTGTCCCTTTCATTTCACAACTATTTCATTTTCCCGCAGAAAATAGGGTGTCGAATCTGTCCTATAACCTCTGATATATTTATTTCTATTTTAAAGAACGAAAATGAATATTTTATGATAATTGTGGTTTAGCTTGTGTAAAAGGTTAATCTAAGTGATGTTGTGTACTACCGTTTTTGTTTTCGCGGTCGTCCTGTAGCGATTTATAAAATTAAACATGGCCTCGAACCGAGGAATTCAGATTGGATCCGCGTGGTTTCAAAGGAAGCTGAATTTGAGGCCACAGCACCGGGGCGTGCACCTCGTCACAGAGGAGATCCTGAAACAGGTGCCGGAACTGTCGCAATTCGCGGTCGGCCTCTGTCATATACAGAGTGAGTATCCATCGAAACGGCGTTATTGCCGCCGCTGCACCCTTAACTGTCAAATTTACCCTACATTAAACTCGTGCAAACCCCTAATTATGGTAATATCGCGATGTTATATCATCATACTGTGAACAAAAGTGTAGCAAATACGCGGGATGTAAAATAGTGTATTGGTGGTTGCTTGCAGTAATGCACACTTCGGCGAGTCTTGCTCTAAATGAGAGTTGGGATCCTAATGTGAGGGATGACATGGAAATGATGCTCAACAAGATAGTGCCAGAGGGTCTACCTTACCGCCACTCTTGCGAGGGACCTGATGATATGGTAAGATATCCTGTGTTAATAGGGACAATCTATTGCTCAGGTAGCAAAAGCAGTAAAGCATTTGTTTGTTAATATTTCTAATTTGAGTCATGTACATAAAATGTTAGGCCATTAAATAGTAAAATAAAATTTGAAACCTTGAAGTACATCTTTCCAATTAGTTTTATTTACTTTCAAATTTCCATTTTTATCATGATTTAAACACTGACTGTACAATCTAGGCTTAGTTAAAACAGTTTTTTTTCTTATATGTGGGTAGTTTTCTTTTAATTTGCTGGTGTCTTGTGAAAATCTACCTATAACTACCTGAATAATGATTGTGAATCCTTGATAGGTTATTACAAAAAAAAACCTGCTGATGGATGGATGTTAATCTATCTGTATTTCACAAAGCATTCAATTGTCATTCTAGAATATTATAATCAAACTAAATCAGTAAAAAGTATTTGATTTTATTTAAATTTATTAAATGTTAATTTATGAAATCAAAAGCAATAATATATCTCAAATAATATAAATAGGAGAATGAAATAAATGTTAATTATTAGATAGTTAATGAATAAAATGGTTTTAATACCATTAAACTTTCACAGTATCTTAAATGAATTTATTTCTAAGCTTACAAACCTTCTCTGACACTTCCATAGCCAATGGCAATGGCATTCCAGGCCAACATTTCAGCCATCAACATTTATGCAAAGATGTGTAAAACATTATAGGAAAGAACATACTTTAAAAAGTATGTAAATAAATATGCTTACTGAATACATCGATGTTGAGTGTATAGGGAGATGATCTTTATTCTTTATTGATTGTTCTATATTGAAACATCTAAATAACATGATACACATACAAAACACATGAAATTTACCATTGACCAAATTCTAACACTACTAAATAAATTGGTTTGCTTTAATCCTGATTTTATTAGACAGTTTAAAAACTACATTATTTTTTTTATAAAGAAGTTTGACTCCAACACCTCTGGCATTGATTTTGCACAAAAATGACATGGTTAGATAGAAAAAAAACTAAATACAAATTGATCAGTTTTTCCATATGCGAATCTGTAATTTTAAGAACAGCACCAACAAATATATGTTAGACTAACTACTTTAAAGATAAATATTATTAGCAGATAAAAATTTACATAAAATATTTACATGTTTAGAAGGGACTAAAGAAAAAAATATATTATTATTATTATTAGTCGTAGATGTCTATGGGCTCCAGTAACCACTTAACACGGGCTGTGAGCTCGTCCACCCATCTAAACAATAAAAATAAAAAATATTAAAGTTAATAGAGAATTAATATTAATAGGCTGGGCAATGTCTTTTGGAAAAACTACATACAACTACACATTCATTTCAATAGTTAAGAAATTATTAAAATATTGCATATATCATCATTCTATTCAATTCTGCTTGCTATTCGTCATGCTCAGGACTAGGCACCTAGTTAGAACAGTAAGTCAAGTTCCTCAGACTATATAGATCTTGAGTGAATCAAAATAAAATACTATAAACAAAGTCTTTATTGCTTTATCTGTACAGGAATCAACAGCAATTTAAATCTACCTCACTATTACTATAATAATATGTCTACTCACTACCTCACTATAACCATACCACATACATTTGTGACTTCTAAAGAAAATGAAAATGATAATACTAGCTTTGACATTGTATAAAAAACAAAACATCAAAGTATCAATAATAATATAAACATATTTTGAGAAAGTAATAATAATTGCTTTTAAAAACTAGATTGGTATTGTTAGAAATGTCAATTTGTAATGCTCCACAATTTTCTTTGACAGTATTGATTGTTCTCGAATCCAATTTTTTTTTTTATTGTCTTTGTAGGCAGACGAGCATACGGCCCACCTGATGGTAAGTGGTCACCGTCGCTCATGGACGTCAGCAATGCCAGGGGCAGAGCCAAGCCGCTGCCTACCATAATCTCAAATGTTCACACAAATACACATATTGCAATCATTGTTTTACTTTCAAATTATAAGAAAGTACAACTGTGATTTTATACTTTTAGAAAGTTTACAAAAATTATTTTTAAAATTGACTAAAAATGACAGGAAAGGTGTTTAACATTTTAATTTAAGCTAAAATTTTAATGTTTTATTTTTCATCAGCCAGCCCATGTGAAAGCATGTTTTCTGGGCTCTTCACTCACAATCCCCATCACTGATGGAAAACTTAATTTGGGTACATGGCAAGGCGTTTGGCTGTGTGAACACAGAAATCATGCTGGCAGTCGAAAGGTAATTTTAAATGTGAAGTTTATATTTTTGTAGAGAAGTGGTAGCACTTACAAAATCATAATGAGTTTTTTTTATTGTTTAGGTGGGTGGACGAACTCATAGCCCACCTGGTGTTAAGTGGTTACTGGAGCCCATAGACATCTACAACGTAAATGCGCCACTCACCTTGAGATATAAGTTCTAAGGTCTCAGCATAGTTACAACTCAGTATAGCCCTCCCTTCAAACCGAAACGCATTACTGCTTCACGGCAGAAGATACTAGAAATTTATTAATAAAAATGAACTATAGATACTATTCTTGGGTGTGGTTGATCTTAGATAATAGATTTGGTGTTGTGCAGATTGTAGTGACACTGTCGGGCTGCCTGCGGGACTCGCCGCTGTCGCCCGTGTCAGCAGCGTCGTGCTCAAGTTAGGAGCGGGCGGGGGGCGCGACCCCGCACACGCACTCGCGCCCCTCCTCCAAGAGCACGCGGAGGTAAACCCAGCCCCACATACTCCTCGACCTACATACCAAACATTCCTAACATAGGAAAGACAATATGTACATAAGATTGATATTTTGATATTCTGCGTGGAATATTTCTTTATCCTTCTTTAAGTTTTAGTATAGAATACCTGTCAAAACTATTAATATCTGTTTTGGTTCTCAACATTAATATAATATTATTTAAAAAAAATGACCAATTTATGGAAATGTAATTAGTTTTTTTTCTTTTATTTAAGTTCAGATATCTGAAACAACACTATTACAGGAATTGAAAACACCTGCATCACCATCTGATTAGTTCACATAGAAATGTTCCTCGCAGATTGCTACCCTAATAATATTACTTTAAATGAATTTGAACATTGAGCTCGTTGAACTTTTACAAAGGGATCACGTGCAAAGGTTTTAAATGTATGTAACACGAAAGTGAGTTGTTGTTTTGTTGTTGCGATATGTACATAGGTAACTCCTGGACTTTGTTACATTCCGCTTACTAGGTATGGTCGTTGAACAAAATGTGTGCAAATTTTACAATAAACTAGTAATAATTAGGGACATGTGAAGTGACGAGTGGCGATGGACGTATTTTTTCACTAATGCACTTGTTCAGATTTTTTCAAATAACACCCGGTACCACGTTGTTTTCTAAGAAAGTGGCACGTTAGATATTTTTATGTATTCAGTCACTAATTTTACAACACAAATTTTGTATGTAATCTCGCACTGGTTAATGGTCAGTTTTTGTAAGTTTTAAGGCCCGAATGTAGTTTTATAAATAGAAAAGTACATGTACAATAGCTCCATTATTTTCTGTGTTAGGATAGAATTTATAAAAGAATAAGTACATACATAAAATTTAATATGTCCATAGCTTTAAATGTGTCACACCCGTTGTATCAACGGTTGGCCATGTGCAACCAATAGTTAGTATTTGTATATCATTACTATTAAGATCATGAAGTGCCTCGGATGTATGGGGTGGTCAAGTCGTCTCCGAGGTTCCACGCCGGCCGAGACTCGTCGCACTACATACCACCATTTAAATAATATTTATAAATGTATATTGGATGCGTTTGTTACATTTCATAGCTCCTTGAGATTGTTTCTTTTAATATTCACATACATTCCTTTCGGAGTTGAAGAAAATATATGAATCTAATATTTGTCTTTTATACGTAAAGAAACTGAGTTATTCGATGTCAAAGCGCGTATGTGTATAGCTGTATGTCTTCCTATGTAAGTTCCCCCAAACGAGATCGTGATTGTCGTAATGGGTGGATTAATAGTGTACATGTGAGCGGTATTAGGGTATACAAACCAAAACCTTTAAATCCGGCCGCATTAAATATACTTAAATAAATTTAACGAAATGATCGCGTTTTAGGGGGTTGAATTAAATCTAAAATTTGAGCAAGCCAATATTCATATAGAATTATCAGATGGAATAATCAGTAGGTGTGTTTTATATGATACGAGACGTAGTGAAGATAACAATACTTCAGTAATTTTAACAGGGTTGAGAACCTTGTCTCTTACAGGAATTTATATTATATCCTAGTAAGGAACATTCCATTTGATAGCGGGGGGCAGTTCGTGTAGAGGGCGCCGCTGTGTCGGTGAGCTTGGGAGTGTTTTTGTTGCGTTCGGCTTCAAATGTCCCATCGAGATCGCTTCTCTGGCACAATTTTACACTTGAAACTTAGTTAGGATTTTAATAAATTATGTATAGGCAGTAGGGTGTAGCCGGGCTCAGACAGCGGTGCGGTCAGTGCCTTCTGACGCCGAGCTCCGCCTAGTACAATGTGTAGATATCACAAACATCTGTTCGTCTCAATAACAACCTTAGAGTTACTTCACTTAGAAAGCTTCGTGTACTCTGCCTTTTGATAGACACATGTACAATATTCTGTTAACTTTTTCTTTTTTCTTTTCGATTAAGTTTTAAGTTTTACAAAATATACATAACATATTTTCTTTTAGTCATTATTACTGCATGATCATTATTAAACTTTTTATTATTAAAACTGTTTTTAGTTGGTTTAAAAAACAATGTTGCTATTATTATTTTTGGGAAGGATATTGAATGGAAGTTTACAGAATGGTTATAAAGTGCTTGTTGAAATAATTAAGAACATGTAAATAATTTTTGCATTTATATAGCGTACTTGTACATTTCGATTGGTGTATTGTAATGTATAAATATTTGGGCGCTATCAATATTTGAATGTTAGGACACTGCCATTTAAAAAATAATAATTGCCTTTTTTTGTAAAATTAATTTTGTCATTTTTCTTAATCGAATATCTATTGATGTATTAAGTGAAGGATGGCATTGTGTATTTGATATGTTAATTTTTTCTGAAGTTCCTATGTCATGCATATGTACTGCTGATATATTAATTGATTTAACTAGCGTGTGTCCCAATTTAGGCTGTCAATAACAACGAATGTCTAGTATTTTAGTTACAAGTGCGTGTTTTTTTACATTTCAACATTCAAAAACCAAACTCCGTGTATTGCCTCATTCGAATCGGTAATGACCTGTTGAATGAATGATATTGTTTATTTGTTAAGGTCAAATTGTAATAATATAAGTAAATAAAATAGTGCGAATACAAGCACAGAATTTAATCACAATCGTTTACTACATACGAATAATATTTTACGAAACATTATTAGTTCATTTCATAAGTGTTTATCAATGTAAACTGCACATAGCAAAATGAGGTTGTACACTCGTTCATATAAGTAAACGGAAGACAAATAATTTTTTGTATGTTGTATAGAAACATCGTTTAATAATAATATAATGATTGTACAGTTAATTAAATCACATTTTTTCTTAGTGGAACCTCAGTTGGGTATTGTTGGTTTATTCACCGGAGGTGACGTCAAATATCAGTCACAAAAATAAAAAATAAAAAAACATTTGATTGTATCATAATAAAACTTGTACAATATAAATATATAGATCCACAATTATGAAAAAGATTAAATATTTGCAAAAGTTATTTTTTGTGTGTTTTATTTCCGTGCGTTGTAATATCTCAACAACGATAAATTCGTGTCGAAATTTCAAAATTATTAGGGGATTCATTAAAAAAAATACTTTCTAAATGACATTGGTTATTACGCTGATTTCCGGTTTCAAGGGTATGAAAAGCGTAACACAAGAATCGTGACCTCATCACTTTATTCATAGTAATTATTCTACTTACTACTGTCGTATAGGACAGGTTTCCTAGTACTACAACTAGCGGTCAAAGTAATTTGTAATGGACAGAATCCATTTTGTGTGGCGCTTAATGAAATCCATTATCGCTAATTGGTGTTACTGAAACTTATGGCGTTTGAGAATGAAGCATTCTACGAATGACCGCTACTTAGTTGATTAAAAATGTTGCAGTATTTAATGGATATAAATCGAAAAGAACTGTTTACTTGGATACGTTTTCAGTTAGTTTCATTTGGTTGTGTGTTGGTAGAGGAATATTGACATCATAAATTTAAGGTCAGCCAACCTTCACCAACGGAATAAAAGTCTCATTTGAATTTTGTAACGAATGTATTAGCTAGCAGAAGTAAGCATAATGGTGATTGATGATAGAGACCCGTGAGGGCTTTCGATATGCCCTACCACCGTATTGTTAGCATATATGAATAATAGTTTTCCAAAATTCTACCTATTTCGACTCCGTATCATAAGCTTTATGCTCCGTATTCTTTAGTATCTAACTAATCGATGCTTCAATTCACGTAATTTACTTATTTCATCATCAATGAATTTTAACAATAACACGTATATCCGGCTGTACTCGATCCTGTCTCGTTTAATATAATTTAATAGCAAGTCTTAATGAAACGAAATGGGAAGTGAATATCAAAATATTCCGCGGAAACGAAAAAAGTGGGTATCTTTTGTATAATTAGTAAAAAATATTACCATTTCACAAACGTTCAGATCGTCGATAATCCCATTCTCACGGATTGTTTGGAAACTCTGGGTCTGCGGAGGGTCTTCAGCTCCCTCTGTATGTTCTGAGATGGTCCCGTCATCTCGTTTTTACTATTGCACCGCCCGCGACCGGAGTAGAGTTCATCCATGCCACCTGGAGCCAAATATATTTTTCGCCACATACCATCCGGCTTTGGAATGAGTTCCCCACCACGGTATTTCCCGAGCGCTATGACATGTCCTTCTTCAAACGAGGCTTGTGAAAAATACTCAATACTTGGTCGGTAGCGGCTTGGCTCCGTCGCTGGCTAATGCCGAAGTTCACCTAACCACTCACCATCAGGTGGGTCGTACGCTCGTACGCCTACTAGGGCCATAAAAAAAAACATCAACTTTCAATATTCACTTCCCATTTCTTTTCAATGAGACTTTCTATTAAATTATGTATGATAAAATGTGTACATACAAAAATTAAACAAGAAACATTACAATGACGGTATACCTATGTGTATACTTAGTTGCTTGTTTACGAGTTTTTAATTCGCCTCAGACGTTCGTTTTATTAGAAAACTATGTTTTTTAAATAATTTATAAATGTTAATATGCTTGTGTAATTTAATAAAACTTATCTCAATATTGTTAAGGTTTAAAGGGCAATGGGTGTGCCCCAACATAAAACATGTGGATAAATCTGTTTCTTGTCCAAAGAAAATACAAACTAATGTAAGATAAGGGTGAGTTAGGACACAGAATGAAATCCCAAGTAATTAAGTAACGTTATTTTACGATTGCGACGAATTACTGACTTTATTTTTATTTCAAAAAGATATATTTGTTTATTAAAGCATTTTCTTGAGTTTTCGCGAGCCGTAGACATAATTAAAAATACTTTTATATTTTAATCTCGCGTTTTTTTAAGCGTTAAATTCAACAATTTGTTTTAGAACACCGGATAAGTCGAAAAATTTTCAAAAATTGATTTCACTTGTTTCGCTTGGTATAGTTCCAATATTGGATCAGTTGTGATCCTGTCACTTTGTTTATAATTTCACGTAAAAAGGAGTCTTATAGTGAGCATTGCTATTGTGTCGTTATGTGTTAAAGTAATCGTTTAACACGAGGCGTATAAATGGTAATGTAACCCAGTGCCGGATTAAGCAAGCGCGGGGCCCATCGCAAATTATTTCAAAGAGCCCTTGATCTACTATGGGTTCTTAAGTATAAAGTGGTAAAAAAACAAATCAATAGTCTATACGTTTAGGTATTTGCCATCTATAGGTTACAATTTTGTGGGTATTTAGTAAAGTCTTTGAAGTCGTTGTGGCCTAAGGATTAAGACGTCCGGTGCATTCGTGTTGAGCGATGCACCGGGTAGGTACCACCACCCTACCTATTTCTGCCGTGAAGCAGTAATGCGTTTCGGCTTGAAGGGCGGGGCAGCCGTTGTAACTATTCTGAGACCTTAGAACTTATATCTCAAGGTGGGTAGCGCATTTACGTTGAAGATGTCTATGTGCTTCAGTAACCACTTAACACCAGGTGGGCTGTGAGCTCGTCCACCCACCTAAGCAATAAAAAGAACAAAATAAAAATAAAAATTTTTGATGAGAAACTAACAATTGAAAACTGATGATACTAAACAAATAATTTTTTTTTTCTTTACATATTTCAAAGTTGATATTTAATGCAAAGTATATTATTTTTTTAGGAATAGCTAATTTTATATTTTATCAATGGTGTACTTTAAATAATGTTTATGTTTTATATTTATTTATTTGTTTCTTTTATTATTATTTTTTTTTTAAACTTCTACGAAGTAACTTTTCTAGATTTCATCTGGGCAAATTGAACTATTCGTATCAATTTCTCTGAGCAAATCATATTCTATATTCATCAAAGCGAGATAATTCAGACGTTCTTGACTCATAGTGTTCCTTAACTCATTTTTTATGCGCTTTAATGTCGAAAATGAACGCTCGCCACTGCAGTTAGTAATCATGAGAGATAAATAAATGTGCAAAGCAATTTCTTAATTGGGGAAACATGATTCTAATGAATTGTCCATTAGAAATTTATAATATTGAATTTCCAGAGCTTCGTTTTTCGTACTGTCAATCGCACCAGCCACATCCGTTTTGAGTAGCTCGGCAAACTGCGCTAATTCGTTGTCTAGGCTGTCTTCCAGCTCACTCTAACCGGCGCCATCTAGGCGGGCTTCGGATAGCCTGCCGACCGAGAGGGCTGGTGGTCGTGGCGCCGACGACCGCCGGTCCGGCGTCCCGAGGGGGAGGGTGATGGGAGAGATGTGAGTTCTGTCTCATGCGAGGCTTGGACGTTGGTTGTTGAGCGACATGAGGTTTTAGTCAGTTCGACTCTGACATGCCCCGCCCTCTATCCCCAGTGGAGGGCGGAAGTCCGGCCATTTTCTTCTTGCCCAAAAAAAAAAAAAACGGGTTGCTACTCTTGCTACATGATTAATCCGGCACTGATGTAACCTAACATTTCAGTGTAACAATGACTCTGGGGACGTAAAACAAAGTTTAATAACTTGAATATTAACAGCTTCAGAATTCGTGACATGACAAGAGGAACGGCTCGGTCGCACGCAACACGTTTTATTCATAACAATGTGGGCCTACATCTACGAACATCTTTAACGCTCACTCTTGTTCTGTATAATAATATTAAGTTAAGTTTTTTAAATCATTGTTTCATATTGATATAGAAAACCAGTTATAATATAGACAATATATTATTATATAGGTACCCTTTAATTAGAAACGGATGGGTCAGCCAGTGTGCTTAGTGCGAGTTATTTAACGTTCTCGATAGCGTAAAAGTTAGCTCATTTTTGTATGGAATGGGATCGTTTGCGTACTTTTGCCGCTAGGGGCGCTGTTCCAGCTGCTTACAAAATTTTATTATCTTTTACGCTATCGAGAATGTTAAGAAAATCGCAATAAGCACATTGAAGGGGATTTGCGAACAACCGTCCGAGTGCATCTACGACTGGATCAGAATGTCGACCCATTGACAAATTCCGGAGAGAAACTTAGGGGACTGGAAATAAGAAGTAGGTATCGTTGTTGTACTTTTACTTTTATTTACTGAATTTTATATCTATTTATTTTGTTAAGTTTTGATGCTATTAGATTTCCAGTGTCCTCACTTAACTAACGGCAGTTTTTAAATTAGTAAGGATTTTATATGATTAAGAAAAAAATTAGATAGGGGTCTGAGGTATCAGCTCATTTCGGAAGAGTGCAAATCTAGCTGTAATTGGCAATCAAGTCATTAAAAAAATCATTTTCAAGAGTTGAATAAGATTAATAGTTGTTGTGTTAGTAGTTGTGTGCATGGCGCTTGCCTGCGAGATTTCGACACTGGCGCCACATCGCTCAATACGAGTACAACAAACATTTTATTCTTTTGTTCGTTAATTTACTGGTGAGGTACTTTATCAAATTGAAATATTAAATTAGTGATTCATTATGATGTCAATGTCGGCCATGTTTTTTATTCTAGAATGTTTCTAACGGGTTTAAAATGGGCTTTCGACTACTTACCCGTTATCGGGTTGTCATTGAATATCAAAATCTTATAACAGACTTATACTGCTTCTTACTATGAACTTATTATGAGTTTGTTATTTTGTTCGGTGGTTGTTTCATTTCCTCTCATTCAAATACCTACCAGGTATTTATAATATCTCATATCATTTATTTTATTTTATTATACAGTCAAATAATCTGAATGCTTCATTAGACGTGGATATATTATTATTGGGCTATATGTTTTTTTTTTTTGAAAATTATAAACCAAATATTAGGCTGTATGAGGTATGTTGGTTGGAAATGCGGATGTTTCCATTGCCAATCTACTGGAAATTTGTAAAAAAAGCATGGACAGTTGTCAATGTCAAATTGTAAACAATCCAAAGTAAAAAAAAAACTATATTCTCACGTGGTTTTCTAACAGTCGGCATGTTTTGCAATATAAATTAATGTATTTGAATTACAGTAGGAACAATGCATAGACTTATAAGTGCTAGAAGCTTATATCAGAGTTCTCTACATGGCACTTCCGTTTTACCACCAAATAATTCTACGACTACAATCACAACATCGAATATCACATGTTCCTTTTGTCGGAAAATATTATTAGGCCGAAACTATGCAGGTATTGTACTTACACCAATATAAAAAAAATATATTTAGAAGAAAAAAAAAACATAAACATTGTCGATGTGTTTAGGTTATTTGTTGCATAACGTCAATGTTGTGTTCCAGAAAACATTTTTTCTGTACGACATCAATCTACAAAAACTGCAAGCATATTGAGGTCACAGAAAAAAAAAGCCAAACACAAAGGCTATAAAAAGTATGGCGAAGTTCTTGAAGGTTTGTTGCAATGTTCTAATACATAACAAATGATTTATTTAATTATTTTTATTAGAGCCATTAGAATATTTAATAGGACTATTACATCTGAAAACAATATTATTCATGATTAATTCCATTTAAAAAAAAAAACTGTTTTAAAAATGAAATTAAAATTGTTGTGTAAAAAAAAATTTTAATATTTTTCAGTTGGTGACAAAGCGATGACAGAAATGCAAGTATCTATAAGTAAATTACATGCAGCTCACTTGTCTAAACTGGCTGCCAGTCCAGTATCTCTAGGACAGCTCCACCAACTAACAACAAAACCTAAGAAACCAGTGAATGTACAACTAGACACCGAATTACTACAAAGAGTACGTGAAAAAATCTTGAACAACTCTTCTGACAATATTAAATTGGTTTCACTGGAAGATGATAAATGTGCTTTGATATATACCCATCATAAAATCACTAATTTAGAAGAGAAATTCAAAAAGAGACAGTTCATTGACATGGTGAAGGATAGTTACCGTAACTTTAGGAAAGCCACATTATATGATCAACGTTTAAGTGATTTGAGCTACGCAATCAACGAAGGTGTTGTTCAGGAATTCCAGATGAAAAGTGAAATTGGAAATGATATAAAAAGTCCACATGCAGCATTCAAAGAATTTTTTGTAGATAACCACTTAGACAGATATGACCACCACTTAATGTCACAAATCACTAGTTTACAGTAAGTATTCTAAGCTTATAAATAAATATCAAAAGTGCAATTGAATACCAGGTTACTCAATTAAAAGTTATTTGAGAGTGAATTGAGTAAAACTGAAATCTTGAAGACTATCTTTGAATTTGTAATTAAATAATACACATTATTCAGTCAGGTAAACTGATCATTTCAGTGATCAGCTTCAAGGTACAATTTTTTCTTGTGTTAAGTGTTCTGGAAATATTAAAACTAGAAAAAAACCCAGACCTAGTTTCCAAATATCTTTCAAAGCGATACTGACTCTCACCTGGTAATGAACCAGGAGCCTGTGGTACAGTAGTCAGGATTAGTAACTTACTAACCAAATCTAGAGAGAGATGTAAAATGAACTTAATTATAAATTTCATTCATTAGGACTGTAATGATACCGAGTATTCATTTACAAACTTCATTATTCTGCCTACATCTCATTTTAATTTTTTATGTCTTGAAGAAATTTGAAAACAACAAAAATACAATACAATATAAAAAAAGTAAAATAGTGAAACATACACTAATTAACAGGGGAAATAAGCATAATATTGCTTAAAAATACAATTATTTGAGGTCATATATGTATATCATTTCGGGGTAAACTGCTTAATTGAGCAAGTACTATTTTTTTCTTTTTAGTGGACAAGACTTACATCCTGCTTTAGAAGATTTGTATGATGAAGGTCCCTTACATAGCGATGGAGAAATCAAAGAGTGTTTTGAGCTTGATCATTTGGGTCCCACAAAAGCCAAGCCTTTGAATGTTAAAGCCGCGTAAGTTAATTAATGTTTCGCAATCAATGTCAAACAATCTTTCGATCATAAGACTGAATCTCATGTTATATTTGTTCAATTTTAATGATATTTTACTTTAGTTTGTAAAGTACATGATGTGTTGAGATGAAACCCACCAAATTTAGAAATTTGAGTTCATTTTGAAGTCTAGAAAAGATATTCTAGAATTTAGACTTGTATTTAAGCTTCAAGATGCTGGAATTCAGATTTAACGTTTATAAGCCCCAGTAACAATAAGTAGACTATTTGAATTCCATGTCAATGTAATTAAAAAAAAAATTGATCAATGAAAGTATACCTTCAATTTGTAAAATTTTAACATTATAGGACAAAAGCTATTAAGGAAAAAAAGAAAGCCAGCCGTGAAAAACGTAGAGCTTTGAAAGAATCAAACATGAAACAAGATATAAAGCAGTTGGAGCAACGAGGGAAGCAAGAAGCATTTCAGAAACTTTTTATTTCACATCTGCAGCTGTTATGTTCACTGCACATGACAAATGAGGTATAGTTACGACACAGTTCCTCATCAGCCTTCACCAGTGTGCCCACGCACACAGAGTCCTCACGTTTTCGCTTATTCAAAATAATTTCTAAATAGTGCCAAGTCATTGTTACGTCGACCTTACTTATATTTTAACATCACAAACATAAATAAATATTTAATTTTAATTAAATAAAAAAAATATTAATCAGTCGTAATTATTTGTTTGTTTAAATCTGTTATAGGATACAAATAGCATGTCAATGTAATGGAAAAATATTGTTGTATCTAATTATAAAAATAAAAGATTCACAATGAAATCTCATTTGACATCATTAATGCAATAACCAATATATGCTTTGAGGATACATAATTAGTTTTTAACTTGATTATAAATTGAATAAATTATTATTTCTAGGGCCGACGAGTATTATTACACTATAGGCGTAAAAGCACCAAACCGAATCAACCAAAAGTGACAGATGTTAAGATATATAACACCTTATTACATGGATATGCAAAAATGGTGAGTCTAATTAGCTTACATTAGATTTATCTAAACAAATTACTAGCATGTTTGGATACCCTATAATACTTTATTTTTTTGTAGTTCAATAAGTCTTTGAGGTAATTTACACAATGTGGTAGGTAGACCAAGAGATTTTTCTACATGTTACTTAAGACATATGAAATGTCTTTTATTAGATTTTTTCTTCCTTTGAATATCTTTCTGTTAGTCTTGTGTCTTATAGTCAGAGGCAGACTATTTAGTACGCAAGGGAAACGTTTTTTATATTTCTTAGGTGGTAATATTTTTTTACTAGGTCCTTAAGACTTCATAACTTGTGAATACTCAGGTAGTAGGGTGTGTTGCAAGACTGCCTACCATCAGAATAAATAGACAGATGAACATTGTTACTATGCATTCTAAAGTAGGGTAACCATTATACTATAGATCTGAGACTTAGAACTCATGTCTCAATATGAATGGTGGTAGTTAAGTTGTACTCAGGTAACCACTTAACACACACACACACATCTAAGTAATTTAAACAACAAATAGTCTTGTTTATAGATTATAAGTATTTTACTATTGGCTACCATCTGAAATAGTCTGCATAGTTTTATCAAATCTTCTGCATAAGATATTGGTACTGTCTCTTTCTCACTCTGCGCCATTACCTCTGAAAATGTCTTCCATTGTTGAGTTTTACAAGTGATACAAAGAAGGGCTAAATGATTAATTCAAGTGATTGCAATATTCGAATATTCGTGGGAACTATACTTGCGACCTTAGAACTTATATCTCAAGGTGGGTGGCGCATTTACGTTGTGGATGTCTATGGGCTCCAGTAACCACTTAACATCAGGTAGGCTGTGAGCTCGACCACCCATCAACGCAAAAAAAAAATATTAATTAAAAAAAATAGTTTTTCTTATTTGCCTAAATTATTTTGTTTAAAGGGAATGCTTGAAGACGTAAAAGAATTGCTTTCATATATGACAAAGGATAACATCCAACCTGACGCGCAGACATTTGCGGCAGTCTTCGAATGCATAGAGCGGAGTGCCAATGACAATAAGAGTACATTGCTTCACTTCTATCACAATAGAATGCAAGAGACGGTTCGTATATACTTATATAGTAGAAGCTCTTTATTCGTAGGGTATATGTTACGTAAAAATACCACGAATACAGGAACCGTAAATATGGAATGGCAATTTACATATATGGGATACTTGCCTAGGTGACAAAAAAAAAACATGCTTTAGGCATAGTTGTGATAAGGTCTATTTTACTTACTTATTAGTCCATTTGAAGGCAGACGCATTTACAAAGGATATTCGGTTGGATACCTACATATTATGGGATATTGAACTCCTTTTTACAATGTTTATGTACCGATGTTCCGATTCGCGAATAAAGACATCTTAAGCCGCGAATATGGGAATTGAGTCGCATTATTTTAATCCGCGAATATTGAAATAAAGGAATATGGGAACCGCGAATAAGGAACTTTTACTGTACTCCTATTTCTAAAAGGAAATAAAGTAGTCTATTAAATGTAAAAAAATTTTTTTTGCAAACAGGGCATATCTTTGAACGATCTCATGGACAAAACTACATTTCAACATGATGAACATGAAACTGTACTCAGCGCGATACAGCGAATACAACCGGGATTCCAGCCGCAATACACGCCTCCAATACTAGACTACGAATGTACATTACTTGAGAAACTCAAACTAAGCAATGTTGAAAATAGATTAGGCTTATTAAAATCACCGTCAGAAGGATTGCTGACGCGTGAAGATATGCTACAGAAAGTCAAAGAGCAAATACAGGTAGAACTGAAAGGAGAAATCGAAGTAGAGAATATCAACGTCAAAGATGTCGAGTCAAAGACTGTTCAATTTTGTGTAAGTTTAAAATTTGTTTACTAATCAATTAATCTATGCCTATTGAACCGATTTCAGAAAAGAAGGTAGTTTTAAGTTAGAGTGTCTTTTTATGCGGGCTCACAGATTATATTTATGTGTAATTCATGACCGATTTTGAAAGTTATATTTTAGTTTGAAAGGGTATATTTTCAAGTTAATCTCAGTTTTATGTTTGTGCTATTGAAGTTGATTTTAAATATTTTTTTAATATATCTATATTTTATTATTATATTAGTCTATATTTTTTAATTAATTTATTTGTATTGCTTAGCGTGAGAAGCTACAAGAGATCGAAAACGAGTGGCGGGTTGTTATTAAAGAAGCTTTTGTTCGCAATATTGGAACCTTGAAATCACAGAGTAAGGCTTCACATTCAGCTATTTCTCTGTACCCTTATCTGAAAGTGTTGGAGGTAATTTCTTTTTTGCAACTAAAATGAATGCTAATTGAATTAAATACCTTAGCTATTACACTAATATTTTTTTTAATTAAAGGTGGATCAATTCGTAGAACTGGTTATGTCTGAAATAAGTAAATTGGTTGACGGGAGCGAAACGTACAGTCCCACACTGAAAGTTTTACAGCGCGAGTTGGGTACTCTAGTATATCAAAAGTGAGTGCATTTTTAATATGTATTTAAATTTTCACATCTATCACTTAATTGGTTTCAACAAAAAAGAGGAAAATATTTTAAAAAACTAATCATATTATGATAGATTCAGACAGTTGATCTGAATTTTTATCTGGCTTAAGGGGACATTTTGTTTTTATATTATCACTGAAATAATAGTTATTCTTTTAATCTCTATACACATTCAAATATGAGACAATTTTGATACAATAGTTGTTAATTGCTATAAAAAAAGTACTCCATAATTTAAATGAATAAAATCTTCTCCTGAATAATCAATATATTGATAACATATTTTTATAGATTAATTTTTATTTTTAAACATTATTAATAAAATTTATATTTATTTAGAATAATATTTGTTATGAAAAACAACAAATTTATAAATTAAGAATATATGTATTGAAAAATAAAATTGGAACGAATTTTTTAGTGTACTACAATTGAAACTACTAATATTAAATTTATTTGTATAATCACTACATAGTATAAAACAAAGTCGCTTTCTCTGTCCCTATATCCCTATGTATGCTTAAATCTTTAAAACTACGCAACGGATTTTGATGCGGTTTTTTTTAATAGATAGAGTGATTGAAGAGGAAGGTTTATATGTATATTAACATCCATCAATAGTGGAGAAATCAACAATAAATTACAATTTCCGAAGCAAAGCGAGGGCGGGTCGCTAGTTTGTAATAAAAGAAATCTATATTTTATTCTGTTAAAAATAAATAAATCACAAAATGTAATATATTCATTAAAATATTTCAAGGTATCAAATAGAACAATACAGTAGAAACGGTGTCCTGCAAAAAATACAGCAAATATACGAGAAATATTGCGACTGGTATGTGAACAGACATTCTGTGGACGACTCGGGTCTTCCTTACAACGGTCGCCAAGTGTGGCAGGCTTTATTACACAAGTACAGGGGAGGACCTAGTTTAGTAAGTTTTGCATTTATATTTGCTGCAATTAAATAGCTTGTAATTGTTTCTGTCGTTTAATGAGCTCATGGAGCATCTGGTGTAAAGTGGTTACTGGACATCACCAACTCAATAAAGACTTTGATCTGTATTTTTTTCCCTCAGAAATAGTCACAGAATTTTTTAATTTAATTTATCTTTGTTCATTTGTAGGATATGGCAGAAACACCGTGGCCGATGGAAATAAGACAAAACATAGGAAAGTTCCTGTATAATATTATTATAAATGATGTAAAAATTGATGTGAACTTGTTCAAAGCCAAAGCAAACGTGTAAGTATTTTATTTATGGGTAATTTCATTTTTCTGTTATTCGTTTATCCCGTGTGGACTTACCAGAGCTTATTTTACAATTTAATATCATGTTCACGCAAATGTGGCGCGATCGCAGAATGCTATTACGAAGCAAAACAATCGAAGTGTCGTAAAGTGATGTCCGATGTGGCCCTGTAGAACGACGCCAGTGTTAAATGCCGCGAACAAATGTTTTTGATGTGAAGCATCTATAGCCGCACGTAAAACCGATTTCTGGCGTGGCGATGCATGCCGTGGCGACGCGTCGCCATGCGCAATCGACTGTGCGGTTCTCTCCCACTCGATCCGGCGTTAAGCCATCTATCTCTCTCGCTACACTGAGCTCGGATACCTATAGTGTATACTCCGTAGTGTATACAGTGTTGTTTACTACAGTACACATAAGCTGTGTTTTACTTGAAAACAAATTATTTTTTCGTAATATTTTATTTTATCATTATGACATATTTAGTTCCTATCACAATCTGTTCTTTTCTGCATATTATTTTTACAAAATAATGTCGACGTCCCGTGACGGCTCACATTTTTTTTAAGGAAATACGTACTTGTGTTAAAAAAAATCGTAATATCCATTGTTTGTTAACTTAAGTGATCTCACCATAATATTAAGTCATGTCATGTTAATGAAAACTCTTTAATGAAGTCGTCGTGGTTGAAAGGATAAGTCGCCCAGTGTAGACGCATTCGTATCAAGCAATGCGACTGTGCTGGTGCTCGAATTCCGCAGCCTAATTTTTCTAATAAAATACCTATGTACCTATGTATACATGATTGACTTCCACGGTAAAAAAAAAAAGAAAGGAATTACGATATGTACTAGAAATTATCGCAAACAGTATATCTTGTGTAATTATCGATGAAAGTATCTCCTGTGAGTCTGCAGGGGTAGGACTACCACCCTGCCTATTTCTGCTGTGAAGAAGTAATGCGTTTGGGTTTGAAGGGTGGGGTAGCCGTTGTATGGTAAAAATTGAGACTAGAACTCATGTCTCGAGGTAGGTGGCGGCATTTACATTGTTGATGTCTATGGGCTCCGGTAACCACTTAACTCTAGGTGGCCTTTGAGCTCGTCTACCCATCTAATCAATAAAATCGTGTTGAGCGATGCACCGGTGTTCGAATCCCGCAGGCGGGTACCAATTTTTCTAATGAAATATGTACTCAACAAATGTTCACGATTGACTTCCACGGTGAAGGAATAACATCGTGTAATAAAAATCAAACCCGCAAAATTATAATTTGCGTAATTACTGGTGGTAGGACCTCTTGTGAGTCCGCACGGGTAGGTACCACCACCCTGCCTATTTCTGCCGTGAAGCAGTAATGCGTTTCGGTTTGAAGGGTGGGGCAGCCGTTGTAACTATACTTGAGACCTTAGAACTTATATCTCAAGGTGGGTGGCGCATTNTTATAATTTGCGTAATTACTGGTGGTAGGACCTCTTGTGAGTCCGCACGGGTAGGTACCACCACCCTGCCTATTTCTGCCGTGAAGCAGTAATGCGTTTCGGTTTGAAGGGTGGGGCAGCCGTTGTAACTATACTTGAGACCTTAGAACTTATATCTCAAGGTGGGTGGCGCATTTACGTTGTAGATGTCTATGGGCTCTCCAGTAACCACTTAACAGCAGGTGGGCTGTGAGCTCGTCCACTCATCTAAGCAATAAAAAAAAAAAAAAAAAAAAAGGATGTCTTTTTATTTTATTTTTATTGCATAGATGGTTGGACGAGCTTACAGCCCACCTGGTGTCAAGTGCTTACCGGAGTCTATAGACATATATAACTTAAATGTCGCCACCTACCTTGAGATATGAGTTCTAAGGTATTAGTATAGATAAACCTTCAGATACAGTCAACTGAGTTTCTCGCCGGATCATCTCAGTGGGTTTCTCGCCGGATCTTCAGTTTCCGAGCCGGTGGTAGATTCAGCGAAGCACGACTCTTGCCAGGGTTCGTGTTAGCAACGTCGTCAGGTTTGAGCCCCGTGAGCTCACCTACTAGTTAAAGTTACGCTGATATAGCCTCTCAAGGCTCTCAGCTTAGGTAGGAATAAAAAAAATATAGTTAGAACAGCCGCCCTACCCTTCAAACCGAAACGTGTTACTGCTTTACGGCTGAAATAGGCAGGGTCGTGGTACCTACCTGTGCGGATTCACAAGAAGTCCTACCACCAGTAAGAGTATGAAGTACGAAGTAGACTTGTTTACAGCAAGAAGCTGCCAGCGGTGTACAAGGTGCACCGGCCGTGGGGTCGCGCTGTGCGGCTGGAGTTGAAGCCGCACCCCGCGCTGTGCCGCGTGTGGGAGGGCGCGGCCCGGCCCGGCCTGCGCCTGCGCGCCGCGCTCGTGCCCGCCGCCGCGCCGCCCGCGCCCTGGGCCGCGCCCGACGCCGGCGCCTACCTGCTCACCAGGACCTCGCTCATCAGGTCACTGTTGCACCTAAACACAAATACCTTAACTGATCATTTTACTGTTACTTAGTGTCAACTTCAACTACTAATATCATATGTACTCATTATAGTTTAAATACTTTTATATATAATATATATAAAGAAAAGCCTTTAGTATTTAAATTTAAAACCACAGACACACCGGATTCACTTGCTTGTCTCATTCAGAAAAAAGAGAAGTTCAGTTTTACATAATTCAATAAAACTTTATAAAGTAATCATTTAAAAAGGAGATTAAAATTTTTAAATTTTGTTTTCTTAGTATTTTACAGTAAACGAAATTTAGTTTTTTATTTATTATTGTTCATACATTTTAGAATATTCCATATCATTATATATATTTGATGCTATTGTTGTTTCTTGAAATAATTTTTAACAACAACTTGACAGTTTAACATTTAGCCTGTAATAATGACCATATTGATTATTTCATTCAGTTGTGAATATACTGTACACACACAAAGTTTTTTTTTATTTTTTTTATTTATTACACTTCATGTAAAATTTACATTGGCGGACTTAATGCCTAAGGCATTCTCTACCAGTCAAGCAAAGGTAGTGCAGAGTGAATAGTGGTAGGTGCAATGAAATTTATATTAAGTTACAAATACATACACAAAAAAAGTATATACATACATACATATACATATAATAGTTTATACAGTATTAAAAGGAATATATTAATAAATTTCCTTAAGTTATTGATGAGTGACTGGCGCAGACACGGTGTTAAACGTTTCAAAATTACAACGGGTATTAATAGTAATTTATCTTGTGTCCAGGATGCCTCATTATATAATGAATCAATGGAAACGCATCGAGGAAGCTCCTAAGCAATCCCTGTACCCTGTGTTGGACAGCCTCAATCAACTCGGAGAAGTGCCCTGGGTTATCAACACAAGGATACTCGACTTACAGCTGCAAATATTTAGGTAAGTAGTCACTCATATTGTGTAATAACATACTAATGTTAGCTTAAGTTAAGCTACCACTTAAGTTAGAGTTAGTAAATAAAGTAAATGTTTAAATACATAATTAGCTTTTTTGGTTTGAGTGTTGAGAACACTCCTTGTCAGTACTCTTACCTTTTTTGTATACAGTTTATCAAAATATGATTCACCGTACATTAGTATTAATTTTTATTCATATTCAAAATTGATTTGTTTTAACATACTGATTGTCAACCTAAATTCTACCGCGTTTTGCGGTACATAACAACATTTTTTTTTATATGTTAGAATAGAACTAATGGCAGCTAGAGTAGTGCCAACAAAAAACATCATTTATTTAAAAATAATGCTTATAATATATTACCTTTGTTGTAGATATTACGAATTAAATTAGTTTAAGAATAAATAATGTTCTCCCAGGTCCGGCGGCAATAAGAAGCTGGACATACCTCCGCCGGCGTCGTCCCTGGACACGTCGCAGTTCCAAGACCAAGGGGCGGACAGCATGAGCGCTTTCAAGCGGCGGCTCACGATCAACCGGGCGCGGGCCGAGATGCACTCGCTGTGGTGCGACATGCTCTACAAGCTCTCGCTTGCCAACTATTTTAGGTGAGTACATCCTCTTTTTAATAAATAAAAAAAACTTTTTTTTTAATAGAGATGGCAACAAATTTTTACCTAACCTTACTATAAACATTGAACTTCTATAATTTAAAGCTTTATTTTAGATTTAAATAAAAAATAAAAACATATATTATATAAAAGCACCGAATTAATGAAACCATTATTGACATGAAACATTTCTCCGATGATTGGTATTTTGTCTCGAAGACAATGACAGAAATTAAAAAGTTGGTACTTACAAAATATTCGCTGTTGTTATTTTAAGGCTCATAATGAGTACGGAGGAAAACTGAAAAAAGCATAGGCTTTAAACGAAATCTCTGGAAATGGTTTTGCGGGTTCTCCTAAAAAGTCGCAAGCTATGGAGGCTAGAGGTAAGGAGAACCGTCTTATACGGGAGACAAGTTGAAACATAAAACTACAACTGAAATACCCAGTGAATATGGCAGTTGTAAAGGAAGTGAATTGTGCTGAGTTGAAAAAAATTAAACATATTTTAACTTTAGGCCCTATCGGTCGTTTTTCGTTATCTCTATCCTCCATATTCCAAAGTAGGTTATCAAAATAAGGGGTCATCCAAAAATGAAGTCACACGTTGATGGGGAGCGGGGTATCACCGAAATGTGTGTGTGTGCATGGGGGTCAATAGTTTTGTGACGTCACATGTTAAAATTTTAAATATTAAAACTCGAAGTTTAGATGTGAATAAAAAACTTTAAAAATCTGCGAACTTGAACTGTAGTTATTAATAATTTAGCATTCTCGCTATGAGATTATCTCTCATGCAACATCATTTAACTTTTAATTTAACTTACAAGCATAAATTGAAAAAATGTTTGACGTCATAAAAATGTGACAACCTGTGACAAGAACGGGGGGAGGGGTTTAAAAATCCTAAAATTCGTGTGACGTAATTTATGGATCGCCTTAACTAAAATAGGTGAAAAAAAAGGGTGCATGTACTTATGTACGTGCGTAAAAGTTATACTTTATTTTTATTAAATGTATTTCTTTTTTTTTTATTTCAATTTTAATCTATTTGAAAAAAAATCGATTAAACAACATCCTCAAACACGCATAGTGGACATCCCTTTTCTTGACATCGTATAAATTTGGTAATTCTCGTTACGGTTCGGCAAGTTCACTTGCGGCTATATTCAGACTCGCCAAGTTACTTTTTTTTTTTTTTTTCCTACCTAAGCTGAGCCCTAGGGGCTATTTCAGCGTAACCCTAACTTTAGTAGGTGAGCTCACGGGGCTCAAACCTGATGACGTTGCTAACACGAACCCTAGCAAGAGCCGTGCTTCGCAGAATCTACCACCGGATCGGAAACGCGACCCACTGAGAAGATCCGGCGAGAAACTCAGTGGGCTCGCCAAGTTACGTCGGTCGTATTGTAATGAGCGATTTAGTGGGCAACTTCATTCTGTTAATTTTGTATCACGGTGCGCGCGCATCGTAAAAATTCACTCTCATCAATTTTTCATAACGCGCCTAAAGAAGTATAACTTCAAAAATCGAGGGATTGTAAATGGCCGTGATAAAACTATAAATTGTGTGTTTGAACCGACGCAGAGAGCGCACGTTTTGGTTGCCGCACAACATGGACTTCCGCGGGCGCGTGTACGCGTGCGGCCCGCACGTGTCCGTGCTGGGCGCCGACGCGCAGCGCGCCCTGCTGCGGTTCGCGCAGCCGCGCCCGCTGGGACCGGACGGCCTCAGGTGGCTGAAGCTCCACGCCGTCAACCTCACGGGCGCGCTGAAGAAGAGCACCATACAACAGAGGTAGCTATCCTCCCCTCTTTTTTTAAAAAGGATTTTATGACCTGGTAGTTGAGACCTTTAAGTCATGTCTTATTTTAATTTATATTCTTATTTTTATGAAAAATGATAATATGGAGTGAAAGGAGATGAGATGATATGAGATGCACAAAATATGAACTATATTAGTTCATTTTTTTATTTAGATTGGAATACGCAGAAAGTATAACGGACATGTTTTTGGACTCTGCTGATAATCCGCTAGAGGGCAAAGGATGGTGGACTAAATCGGAGGAGCCTTGGCAAACTCTCGCCTGCTGCATAGAGATAGCTAATGCAGTTCGCTCACCTAATCCTGAAGGTAAAATTTATCTACACTTTTAAAACAATACCGTGACTGACTGAGTGAGAGCTTAGTTCGTGCCCCCTACCCTTTCCTATAGCAGTAGAATGTATCAATATCGGATTTTCATTACATAAAAAGTGTACAGTACCAGGCGATAAATATTGCAAATCGATATTTAGAAAGAGACGGTCGTCTAATTTTGTTTTTGTAGATCGTTACCTGTGTGCAACGAATGATGTTCATTTAGGTAATGTGCGACAGAGATAACGCTCTACAAAACAAAAACTAACCGTCTCTTTCCCTCGGTCGATGTGTGGCAATATTTATCGACGGTGACTGTAATGCTCGATTTTTGAAGTGAAACTTCCTTATCGGCGTTGGAAAAAAATTTACCGTCACATTTTTCGGTTACGCGTCACATTTTTCCGTTACGCGCCATCTTTTAATTAACGGCTGTATGTTCTGAAGTATGGATGCGCATTTGAGAAACCGACCTCATGTCTCAAGGTGGGTCACGGAATACATTTTGTAATTGCAATAATCCCAGGTAACCCACTTAATATCACGTGGACCGTGCTATTATTGTTATTACGTAAAATAATAGGAAGAAAAGTACCAGGGTATTATGATATCAAAGAGATGTATTATTATAACTTTACTCTGACGTACAGCCTTCTTTATTAATTAACGGCTGTATGTTCTGAAGTATGGATTCCGATTTGAGAAATTGACCTCATGTCTCCAGGTGGATTACGGAAATCATTTTGTAATTCCAATAATCTCAGGGAGCCCACTTAATAATATCACGTGGACCGTGCTATTTATTACTGTTATTACGTAAAATAATAGGAAGAAAAGTACCAGGGTATTATGATAGCAAAGAGATTTATTAATAATTAACGGCGGTATGTTCTGAAGCATGGTTTCGGATTTGAGAAATCGACCTCATGTCTCAAGGTGGGTCAAACTTCACGAACCTCAGGAACCCCATTTAACACCACGTGGACCGTGCTATTATTATTAATTTATAGGAAGAAAAGTACCAGGGTATTATGATATCAAAGAGATGTATTATTAAAATGCTGTAATAATCTTAGTAGCAAAAAGGTAAAGTGAAATAATTGTATTATTTGTATTCATGTCTATGATAATAAAATCCTTTTGTTTAAACTTTATCTAATTTAACTTTATTTAACCAATTTCTAGAAAGTTGCATGTAGATCATTTTTCGAAAAATAAGGCCATAAACAAGTTTCACTTCTTACGTGTGTACACTAGTACACGCACACATTTTTTTATTTTATAAGGGATTTTATGACCTGGTAACTAAGACCTTTAGGTCAAGTCTTATTTTAACTTCTATTTTTATTTTTATGAAAAATTATAATATGAAGTGAAATGAAATGAAGATGATTAATTTGAGACATTAATCAACTGGGACGAAATTAAATGAAATGAGATGAGATGATATGGGTTGAAATATAATCTCAGTAAAATGGTGGTTATTAGTTTTACTGAGACTTTTCAGTGGGCCTTTTCGAGGATGCCGAGAAGCTACGTCCAGCGCGGCTTTGTTTCATTTTCCCACTTTTGTGCACTTTCACAGATATTAAACAGTTATTAACCACCGTTATACACCGTTAAACACTAAATAGACAAAATCACACAACTTCATTCCTCACGTTCCCGCCAAAAAGTCGTTTGTGCTTGATATTGTTATGTGTTTACAGAGTACATGTGCGGGTTCCCGGTGCATCAGGACGGCTCGTGCAATGGACTGCAGCACTACGCCGCGCTCGGGGGAGACGAGGCCGGTGCCGCCGCCGTCAACCTGGCGCCCGGGGACCGCCCGTGCGACGTGTACAGCGCCGTCGCGGCACTGGTACGTACCGCGCGTGGTCCCTCGCAGCCCAATTTATTCTATACTAATATATCTATATATATAAAAATGAATTGCTGTTCATTAGTCTCGCTAAAACTCCAGAACGGCTGGACCGATTTGGCTAATTTTGATCTTGAATTATTTGTGGAAGTCCAGAGAAGGTTTAAAAGGTAAGGTAAATATGAAAATCCTCGGAATTAAATAAAAATAACAATTTTGTTTTCCCTTTGATGTGTCCCCCGTCGGAAAAGATTCCTTTTGTTTGTTTTAAGTTTATACAAAAGCTTAGGTCTTTTATTTATCGATTGAGGCACTACGAAATCTGCCGGGTCAGCTAGTCTCCTCCTCCTTGCGTCGGTTTCCTCATTACTGAGGGTCGTGGTCATGGTCTTGAAACAGATTGTTTTTTATAGTGCACCGCCATCTGTTCCTATCTGCTTAATATATAAATCTACAGTGGTTTTTACGGATGTTCCGTTATAACTACTGAACCATGCATCCGATTGACTTGAAACTTAGTATCCATGTAGAAAATGTACTTAATGGATAGACTAATATTTATATGAATGTTGGACTCCCTACACCAGTTGCGGGGGCGTTAATGATGAGAATCTTTGTGGGGGTGAGAAATAATAAAGTTAACTTTAAATGCCCAGCAAAGCGGTCGGGTACAGCTAGTAGTTATATTTATTTATTGCTTAGATGGGTGGACGAGCTCACAGCCCACCTAGTATTAAGTGGTCACTGGAGCTCATAGACATCTGCAACGAAAATGCCGCCACCGACCTCGAGATATAAATTCTAAGGTCTCAGTATAGTTACAACGGCTGCCTCACCCTTCAAACCGAAACGCATTACTGCTTCACGGCAGAAATAGGCAGGGTGGTGGTACCTACCCGTGCTGATTCATAAGATGTCCTACTACCAATCTCAAATCAAACTTATGTGTTTTACTATACTGTGTCATATTATTAAAACGTTTTATTAACATTATTTACGTTCCATCATGTTAGTACAGCTAAAAGAAAAGATAGTTTCATAAAAAATACATTTTTCTCCTACCGACGCCGAAAGTTCGGTTTTCGACCCGCTGTACACGAAAGAAAGTGTAACTCTTTCCCACTGGGTACTGACAAGTGCGCTGCGCGTTAGTGTCTACGTCTGCTCTCACGCACCTAAAATTCTCGGCCATTGTTGTGCTCGGGTGATTTGCAATATTGTGTTTAGTGTAAAAGTGAAATAAACAAAAGGCAATAAAATTTTATAGTGAAGTATTAAACAAAGATAAGTTCATCATGTGAAACACAAAATCATAAAACAGCTGATGCTCGGATCAACGAACGCCCGGGCGCGGCGCTGATACCGCGCTCCCCAAAATTAACTTTGAAGCTACAAAACTTTCGTTTTCGGAAGCGGTCTCCCAAGACCCTAAGAAGTTTAAACGGTAGGCAGCGGCTTGGCTCTGCCCCTGGCATTGCTGAAGTCCATGGGTGACGGTAACCACTCACCATCAGGTGGGCCGTATGCTCGTCTGCCTACAAGGACAATAAAAAAAACCCAGTATAATACCGGGACAGGTGGAGGAGATGAGGGCGCGCGACGCGGCGGCGGGCGTGGGGCCGGCGATCATACTCGAGAACTTCGTCCGTCGGAAGGTCATCAAGCAAACCGTGATGACGACTGTGTACGGCGTCACGAAATTCGGCGCGAGACTGCAAATCGCTAAGCAACTCAAAGGTTGGTATCTCATTATTATTTTCCTACCTAAGCTGATGATAGCCTTGAGAGGCTATTTCAGAATAACCTTAACTAGTAGGTGCGCTCATGGGGTTCAAACCGGAGTGATGCTAACACTGACCCTAGCAAGAGCAGTGCTTCGAGAGTCTACCACCGGATCGGAAACGCGACCCACTGAGAAGATCCGGCGAGAAACTCAGTGGGCTGTGCCTATGGGTTAATTCGTCGCAAGCGACGGGTTCGACCAGGACAGTGACCGGTGCTTGAGGTACCTAAAAGCACCGTTAGTGGATCGGGAGGATCCGTAATGACGTGTTTTGAGCGGTGTCTCATATAATATCATATTTTATACAGGGTGTAATAAAGTCTCTTACTAAAGCGTAAGGGTGTTCTTTTATATCGGTATACGAAACTATTTACTCTCAAACTTTAATTACTTACTTACTTTAATCTCAAAAGAAGCCTAGATATATACAAAACAATTCGAATGAAACCACAAGAAATAGTTGCAAAGACCTGAGAAATAAAATATTAACTTCAAAACTAACGTGTATTATATCCATGTATGTAGGGTATCTTTGAATGCAACTGTTTTTCTTGCATAGCTTTAACTTAGAATTCACTAAGCCGCTTTCATAGGTAAATTGTAAAATTTTCTTTTCTACTAAAACTATCAAATTTGTCAGTTAGCTAGTTGGCATTTTATTCTTTACTAATTAGTATTTTTTTTTTATTTTTTTTTATTGCTTATATGAGTGGACGAGCTCACAGCCCACCTGGTGTGAAGTGGTTACTGGAGCCCATAGACATCTACAACGAAAATGCGCCACCCACCTTGAGGTATAAGTGCTACGGTCTCAGTATAGTTACAACGGCTGCCCCGCTCTTCAAACCGAAACGCATTACTGCTTCACGGCAAAAATAGGCGGGGTGGTGGTACCTACCCGTGCGGACTCACAAGACGTCCTACCGCCAGTAAAGTTCACACGGCACTCTTTCGACAACCATTGATTGACATACGGTTTCTTATCCTCAGACATTGACGACTTCCCGAAGGAGCACGTGTGGGCGTGCTCGCAGTACCTCACGGCGAAGACGTTCGACAGCCTCCGGGAGATGTTCACGTCCACCAAACAAATACAAGACTGGTTTACTGACTGCGCCAAGTAAGATGCGATCCTGGTACTAGTATACGTATACTAGCTGTTACCGGTGGCCTCGTTCGCCCGTGAAAATAAGATGTTTTTTTGGCAATAAAACGTAGCTTTTGTCACTCATTTATCCTAATACAATGACTTTAAAAAAATCACGTTAATCCGTTGCCTAATTTCGACGTAAAAGTGGGACAAACATACATTGTGACATTTATAACATTGTACTTTTCATTGTGATAATCGTTGAATGATCACTAGTGCTCATTAAAGCCCATAACACCACACTGCCACCACCCACCTTGACACCCAGGGGAGGAGATAAAGCTGTACCACACTAGGCCAATATTTAAATTCTCAATATTTTACAATCACCCGTTCGTATGACAATCTTGGGAACAGAGTGCGTTGTGTTTCCAGAGTGATATCGGGCGTATGCGGCGAGAGCGTGGAGTGGGTGACGTCACTGGGCCTGCCCGTAGTGCAGCCCTACTACCGGCGCGCGCCGCCGCACCTGCACTACGCCGCGCCCGTCGACCAGCAACAGTGCGTCCTTACTCTTACTATGTGATGCGCTTACATTCATGTACAGAATGTTATCGATATGTATGTACAGAATGTTATCGATAACGTCCTTCGAATGTTGCCGAGAATACAACATATAGTATGCTCGCGAGTTCATGTCCATCGGGGACAGAGGCGACGCGCGGGGGACAGCTCGCCCCACCTTCGCCCACCTCCCCGCATTTGTTTGACGCCGTGTGTTTCCCTTGACGGTTGTGCCACGCGTTTGTCGATATCAAAAATTTACACTTTACTTACTACACTTTACTTTTTAGACTTTCTTCCCTGTACAGCGGGAGGAAAACCGAACTTTCGGCGTAGGTAGGCGAAAAAAAAAAGCTGTACGTACTTGTGCCCGCAGACGTCCGTGCACGATGAAGCAGCGCAACGCGTTCCCGCCGAACTTCATCCACTCGCTGGACTCGACGCACATGATGCTGACGGGGCTGCACTGCGCGGCCGCCGGCCTCAGCTTCGTGTCGGTGCACGACTGCTTCTGGACGCACCCCGACACCGTCCACCGGATGAACAAGGTGCCTCCGCACTCGCTACTCGCACCCTATGTAACCTTATACAGGGTGTTGGTGTTAGGAGACCGCTTCCGAAAACGAAGACAGGCGATAGTACTAATGACACCTTTGATGATGGGACGGAAAAAAAATCAATCCCGATAACACCCAGTATACGTTGATTTTCCTTTACATATTGTTCGTGTCAATGAAAATGTCCGTGAGTTGTAAATCGGGATTTTTTTTTCCTACTTATTGTAGTGAGCTCAAGGGGACACCGGACGATTCCGGATTCATGATGATTAATCTCATTAAAGCAGAAACATGTTAAAATTTTGACATTCATAAATGCACTTAAAACAGTACGAAATAAACTTCTTTTGCATACTTGAGTTACTGAAATGATACACAAAACAAAAAAGGGATCTACCAAAAATCGGCTATTTATTTGTTTAATTTTTATTAAATAACATAAACACAAAAACGGACGGAGGTTTTAGCTTTTGAAAGCTTTCTATTCTGTTTAATCTTACAAATAAATAAATAAAACATATTAAGGAATTAAACTGAAAGAGCAGGTGGCTCACGCAACAAAACACGGTGACCTCCGAAACAACGCAACTATTGCTTCGTGACTTAATGACATTAAAATCTCACGTGTTAGATTCGGGTGTCCATAATTTTGTACTTGATTTCTATTTTTAAAAAAAACTACGTTTAATGAGCTATTCATCATCATCATCATCATCAGCCTTTATCTGCCCACTGCTGGACATAGGCCTTCCCCAATGCCTTCCACATAATGCATTGGGCTATTAGTAATTAAGCTATTAGTAATTAAGCATAATGAGCTATTAGTAATTAAGAAATAATTAATTAAGCAATTAGTAATTAAGCATTACATTGCCAAACAAAAGCGGGGACACCCTGTATACAGATGAGATTGCTAACAACGTAACGTGCAATTACAGATATGTCGGGAACAATTCGTGGCGCTACATTCTCAGCCTATCTTAGAGGACTTGTCGAATTTCCTTGTCCAAAGGTTCAGCTACCCTGAAACGTAAGTGATTTGATTTTAGTTTTTAGTTTATAGATCGTAAGACGAACGAATATATAATAGAATACCTTACTAATAGCTATGTAAAATTACTTTTACTACTTCGAATACTGGGGAAAGATTACTGTCTTCAAAATATAAAGGGAGAGCCGTATAAATACATATTGCTATAATTATTTAAAGTAATTGAAAGCAAACTCTACACCGCATACAAACTCTACATACAAATTGTCACGCGAACCTAAAAAGATTGTGTTCCTTAACATTGTCGGAACAAATATTTGTACTGGTTTTAGGTAATGTTTTTTTTTTTCTCAAATCTGTTGTAACTAGGAGTGGGTAATATCGGTTTTGCCGCGTATCGAATCGTATCTATATATCGAGTACAATATCGGATATTGAATCAATATATTTTCTGAATCTATATATTGATGGATGCTAGTAGATTTTCTCGATTCATGATATTTGAGTTTTGAAACGATACGCTGATATAATATCGTAGTAGATATAGATTGAAGTCAACGTTATACGGTTGGTTTTCTGATATCAATTTATAATATGACTAGCGACCCGCCCTCGCTTCGCTTCGGAAACATTAAAATACACATGAAACCAAAAATAAAAAATAAAAAAAAAAATAAAAAAAGTAGCCTATGTTCATCAGGGACAATGTCGGCTTCTAATGGAAAAATAATTTTTCAAATCGGTCCAGTAGTTTCGGAGCCTATTCGAAACAAACAAACAAACAAATCTTTCCTCTTTATAATATTAGTATAGATATAGATTTTAAAGTAATAAAAAGAACATGAAAATAAAAATATCAAAAAAACTTTCCTTCATGCTTTTACCAGGTTTAGGATTGGCTACATTATTTTCAGTTTTTAGTATTTTGTGTCTTAATTTAAAATTACAAAATATACCAAATAGTGTAGATTTCAAAAGTTTAATAAAAACACAAGAAATAAACTCAATTATTTGGATTCAACTAAAAATAGAAAAATGTGTACTTTAAAAATCAAACACAAAAAACTTTTAAGTATTTATAAACACTTGTCCAAAAATTCTAGTTCAAGGTCAAAGCGCGTGAAATTAAATTCAACGATGCAAATAGGCTATACTGCATTCAAGTTAGGGTCGAAAGTTGAAACTTCTTTCCTTAATTGTATCCTGCTGATACGCTAAGAATAATCTACAGACATATGGACTTAAATATAAGGTTTACAATTGTATGGATAATGCCTGTTTCTGTTTCATTCATCACATGATATCCCTATCGTGCGCTCACTCACTCTGGCCGATTCGATACGAACCAAACGAATATTGCTGATATTAACGAATCGGTACGATATGCCGATGCGCATCACATCGAGCAATATCGTGTATCGGCTGATATCGAAATATAGATTTCGATTCACGAATCGGTACGATATGCCGATGCGCATCACATCGAGCAATATCGTGTATCGGCTGATATCGAAATATAGATTTCGATTCACGAATCGGTACGATATGCCGATGCGCATCACATCGAGCAATATCGTGTATCGGCTGATATCGAAATATAGATTTCGATTCACAAATCGGTACGATATGCCGACGCATCACATCGAGCAATATCGTGTATCGGCTCATATCGATATATAGATTTCGTGCGGGGCGATATCGGATTCAACGATATTGCTGCGATATATAGATATTGAATCTATATACGATTTATATCACCCACTCCTAGTTGTAACCCTTATGGAAACTAATATAGAGATCGTTCACTTAAAAACTTTTAAAAATCGAGAAAATAAAATTTATTGAATTATGTCCGTTGTACACAAATTTAATTAAATCCGGGAACAGGCTAGTTTGTTATATCTTCGGTAAGCTGTGCCATTGCTGATGCCCATGAGCGACCGTGACCACCACATCGAGTGGACGGTCTACCTCTTAAGGCCGTAAAACAAAACTCATGGTACCGTCATGCTGACCTTCGTATTTGACGCGTTATGTAAATATTATAACTATATAGAAATTTGGACAGTGCGAATTTAGATAAGTTAATGCGTAAAAAATCCGATTCAACGCAATTTCCTTACACGTGACGTCATTTGGGGCCAAGCAGTAGTTACCATATTTGATGGACACCAGCGAGCCAAGCAGCCGTCTAAAACTAAGGCATCTCATATAACACGATCTAAGCTGTGTTCTTTATGTTACAGTGAGTTACAAGACGGCAACTCTGGCGCTTCTAACAAGAAACGAGTCAATAATTTGCTTCGAAAAGTACCCAGTAAAGGTAACTTCGACATAAACAGTGTACTGGATTCAGTATATTTCTTCAGCTAGAGAAGTGTATCAGCGCGGCCTTACTTCGTGTTGAGAAAAGAATTTTGTAAACGATTGTGTGTCTAATGGTCAGGTGCTTATGAGCGATTTCGGAATAAACGCTAACGATATGACGTTTAAATAGTCATAATAATTGAGTGTCACGAAAAAAGCACGGACGCACGATCCAAACTTTATAATAGACTGATGTGAATTGTTAATGCCTTTGTAAGTTTTATACAAATGATGCTGCCATTTTAAATAAGCGAATGTAGAATGTAAATACGAGTTTACGAAATGGTTTTTTTTAGTATTAAACGTGTCTTGCAAGACAAACTCGTGTTGATGAAACAAAATTAACAAAATGTAAAGTTAAAACTTGCAATTTGTAATTTTAAAAACGTCATAATAATAATAAGGGCTCCGCGTGTGTAGCATGAAAAATGGTTTTTGATCCCAGTTTTTTTCAAATTTTAGTTTAGCACAAAAAAAATGTATTATCAAGTGTGATTGATACATGGTCGTGTAGAATTTGCTAAATCTTTTATATTAATGTTGCAATTGCACATACTGTATTATTGAAATGACAAATGTAATACATATAATTATAATGAAGTGTCAAAAAATGTGTAATAAATACCTATCATATAAATAAAGTCGGATCTACAATAATTTAATTTGTCGGTAAAATGTTATTACACGGCGTTGCGTCTTCATTTTGAAAGTATTTTTCTAAGATATGTTGTACTGTCTAAGGTTGACCTACAGGGTGTGGTCCTCTAAGATATGTTGTACCTGTAAGGTTGACCTACAGGGTGTGGTCCCGAGTACAGCGGGCCCTATTGTTCGGCCACACAAGCCTCGAATTTACCCTTTCAACTTCTTTTATGTGTGTGCAAAAACCGCCATTAGATTTGAATTCGAAATTTGTTATTATATTATTATTCATTAGGATAGTGCAATGCAACAAAAAAGTCTGTGATTTGTTAGGTTCTAACAATAAAATAAATATACCAAAATTGATGTGTTTCATTATAAATGTTTTTTTTTTTTTTCCTACCTAAGCTGAGAGCCTTGAGAGGCTATTTCAGCGTAACCCTAACTTTTGTAGGTGAGCTCACGGGGCTCAAACCTGATGACGTTGCTAACACGAACCCTAGCAAGAGCCGTGCTTCGCAGAATCTACCACCGGATCGGAAACGCGACCCACTGAGAAGATCCGGCGAGAAACTCAGTGGGCTGTGTCTGAGAGTTAATTTACTCGTCGAGCCCTTC